AATTTTAGAAGATTAAAATGTTTTGTTAAAATAAATTTATTTTTAAGAAAATTTCCTAAAAACAACTTTAAATATGCATTTATAGAAAATGCTTAATCTTGAAATCTTTTTAAATAAAATAAGAGTATAAAAAAATGGTATCGTATTATCCATTCAGTAAATCAAACTAAATATAAATTTAAAATATTATTGGCTTCCATACATATATATATATATATATATATATATATATATATATATATATATATATATATATATATATATATATATATATATATATATATATATATATATATATATATATATATATATATATATATATATATATATATATATATATATATATATATATATATATATATATATATATATATGAATGGTATTATAATATATATATATATATATATATATATATATATATATATATATATATATATATATATATATATATATATGTATGTATATATGTATATATATATATATATATGTATATATATATATGAATGATATTATAATATATATATATATATATATATATATATATATATATATATATATATATATATATATATATATATATATATATATATATATATATATATATATATATATATATATATATATGATATTATAATATAGGATTGGTAATTCTGCTGTAGTCTTGCAGTCAGATGAACTTTATGATGATTCAAAGTTTCACCCTTCACCATACATTACAGATCACTGTAAGCATTTAGACAATTTGTTAAGGGTTTTTTTTAAATTTGTTTGTTCCCAAGTTTTAAAATTTACACTTTATTTCTTTAGTTATACCAGGTGCATCAAGAGATTTGTTAAAAGAACTACCTGGTGTAAAGTCTATTGAGATCACTGCTAAATTTCCTGTTGTTGAAGGTATATATAAATTTATATATATACTTGAATTTTATAACACAAAAACAATTTTAAAAGTATCGAACTTATTCTTACAAGTTTTAATACCAAAACTTTTTCTTATAATTATTTGTTTTTTTTTTGCTTGGAATTATTTCAGTGTGATTTTAAAACTTTTCAAATTAGAAAAAAATATTTCACAAAGAAGAAGAGTAATGCAGACATTTTTTAAATATAAAAATAAAAAGAAACGTGACACAAAATAATATTTACAAAATAATTGTTTCAATAAAAAGCAATCTAAAATTTTTTAATAACTTTTTAAACTCTATTAAAAGTTTAAAAATTTAGTCCAATGCATCGTTGTTTTTAACAACTTTTCTAAAATACTTTTAAACAAATGTTGCTGATCGTTGTTTTTCAGATGTATTTATAATATAATACAAAACATTACAGTATAAAACTAAAAATGTTTAGATAAATACATTTTAATAAATCAAATCAAATTTTCATAAATGAAATGGAAAAACATAAAAAAAAATCCTAAATATTGTAAATTAGTAAAATATAACTATATTGCAAATCGAATGAATCAAATATATACAATAATCATTTTAATTAAAACTTTTTTTGTATAAAGTTGATGTATTATTCTGTGTTACTAGATTTATTAAATATGCAAAAAAAAATTATAAAAAATGCCTTTAAAAAAATACTTTTATACTAAAATTTGGTCAATTAAATATGGAAATATATGCAATTAACAGTCAAATATGCATAATTATACCATAACAAGTTGGTCTCAAAATGTGAATTTTTAAATGCATATGACTATCTTACAATTTTTTAATGAATAATATCTTAATATCATTTAATAAATGTACTAAAAAATAGTAAACAAAATATATGCATTTGCATATATTTTGTTCACCAATCCAATTAACATATATCCATAAATCATTGACCAATCCAATAAATCCAATTTACCTCTTTTAATAGAAATTAAGAAAATATTGAACTTTTCTACAATAGATTTTCTTCTACTCATTAAAGATATTAATAGCAAACACTGCAAAGCAAGTGCCAAAATAAAATCTTGATGCTAACTTGGATAGGCTTTCAATACTTTTATGTGTTCCTGTTCATTAGATATCTGTTCTTGTAGTGACAGAAAAATATATTGTAATAGAGAAAATTGATTAACATATTGTATTTTTATATAGAACATATTGTATATATTTTTTGTACATACATATTGTACATATTGTATATATTATTGTATGTATAATTATTATTGTATATATAATTATTATTTTATATATAATTATTATTGTATATATAATTATTATTTTATATATAATTATTATTTTATATATGATTATTATTGTATATATAATTACTATTGTATATATAATTATTTTTATATAAACAGTTATTGTTGTATATATATATATTATTGTATATAATATATTATATATATTATTTGTACATATTTTATATAGAACATATTTTTATATAGAACATATTGTATTCCTTTGCCCTCAAAACACTAAACTACCAATAAGACTATATTATCTTTGTAATCATAGAAATAAAATCATGGTGCATATCAACTTTTATCCTTTGATAGAGAGCTGTCAAGAAAAAACAAAATTAATGAGAAAGATTGACAACAAATATCTCATGTTGTAGCTGATAAAGATACGACATGAGATATTTGTTATAGCATGTTTTGCACATTTAATTTTTCTGCAATAGTGCAAATCTTTTCCATGATAGATTCATTTTCCTTAAAAAGCACTGCACAGGTATATCAATACTCCCTTGAAAAAACTTCATGTCAGCTTTGCTACAGGTATTGCTCTACTGCCAGGTTTTATAAGCAATTGAGAAAGTTTCTTTTCATTCTGTGCTCACTTATTTTTGGTTAATGAGAGTTGTTCTGATTGGATCCAAGATATAAAGTAATATATCAACATACTGATAAAAATGTTATTAAAATGTTAAAAAAGCTTAGTATTGCCTGGACTGCAAGATACCATTGAGAGTTTTGACGTATGTACACTTAATTTTGCTTGTCCCTATCGTCGGTTGATGTGTTTAAAATTAAAATTAACTAAATACTTTTGATACTTAGACTGCCTAGTTTTGCAAAAGAGCTCATAATGACATAAACTATGTGCAACTATTTGTGTTAAACTTTTTTAACACCAATAGTTGCACAAACTATTGGTGTGAAAAAAGTTCTGGCAAATCTTTGATATATGTGTGTATTTATAAATACACAAATATATGCATATATATATATATATATATATATATATATATATATATATATATATATATATATATATATATATATATATATATATATATATCAGGGTGTTACCCAGCCTGATGGCACCGCATATAACGCGGTATTCCCAATTGGTTTAAAATTCCCAAAAGTTTATAAGATAATAGTAAAAAAAAAAAAAAATTAAGTCAGTCTCAGATTTAAAGTGTCCCGCTAGACTAGTAATAATTAGTATGCATGATGAAAAAATGAATTAAATTGATTTTTTTTATGTGTAAAAATGTGTCGCCATTAACAAGCATCATTAACCTTAACAAGATCATTAACTCAAAAGTTTAAAAAAAACTTTTTTTAAAAATTTTTATTGACATCACTTATTCTCTGTTTTTTATTTTTTTTAATTGCGCTTTTCTCGAAATACGTAATTAAGGCGTTTTGAAAAACCGCTGCAGTATATCAAAAACAAAGAAAAGAAGCGATTTAAATGAAAACTTTAGAAGATTGCTCATAATGCAACAAGTTGATTAATTAAAATTAAACATATATAAAGTAGAAAAATAATCCTGCTGTAAATGTAACTCCCAGCAAAAATAGAAAATTTATTTTGATTAAAATTTAATTGCAGAACGGACCTTTTCTTTCTTTTTTTTTTTTTAAGCTGCACCTAAATTCTCAATTTCGCAAAATGTATGTTTCCTGGGTAACACCCTATATATATATATATATATATATATATATATATATATATATATATATATATATATATATATATATATATTATATATATATATATACGGACACACATAAATTGTGTGTTTTGATGTGTGTATATATATATATATATATATATATATATATATATATATATATATATATATACACACACACACACACACATATATATATATATATATATATATATATATATATATATATATATATATATATATATATATATATATATATATATATATATATATATATATATATATAAATATATATATATATATATATATATATATATATATATATATATATATATATATATATATATATATATGCACACACACATATAATTAAATATATAATACTTTATTATAAATATTTATTTAATGTACCCAAATTCAATTGATATTGATTGAAAGTAATTAGGAATTTTTTAAAATTACAGTTGCTTACACTGATGATAAACTGAAAGGTTTTGATGTACATCTTGAAGCATTCAGTCCTAAAGTGCCCTTAGATTCAACTGCAAGTTCAGCTCCTGTTATTATTTATGAGTTTTATGTCAAGAACACAACCAAAGATGATGCAGAGGTGATTATTCTTACACCATCTATTTATTAATTGAAATTTTAGTCTTAAGATGCTGTCCACCATATTTTCTGTTTTGTACGCGTTTTCTGTTTTGTATTTTCTGTTTTATCTTTTCTGTTTTAGGTCTCATTATTAAGCAGTCTACAAAACATTGCAGGATGGGATTGCTACACACCAATTACAAACCAAGGTTGTGTAGTATAAAAAATAGCTTATTTTTTAAAGTACATAAAGAATGGTTGTTTTATTTAAAAAATATTTTGTTTTTAGTGTATAACAGAAACTATGGTGGTAATACAAACTCATTATACACTGTTGGGTAAGAAGGTTTATAAAAACAATTTTACAAAAAAAATAATAATAAAAAAGATTTAAGTGATTTTTTTTAATATCACCTACCAGTACTTGTCTCACTTACAGAATTAAATTTGACAAATATAAAAATGATATTATTTGAAAATAAATAAGCAATCTTTTATAGATCATTATATGGTATTGACATGTCTAATGTTTCTTTGAAAGATCTTGATGCCTTTAATGGGCATGTTTCTATAATGGGTAAATTTGAATAATAGTTGTTTAATTTTGGCCATTATTATTATAATTATTGTTAGAATTTTTTTTTTAATAATTTAAAAAATTACAATTTGTATGTATATAGCTTTAAGTCAATCTGGTGATAATATGTCCACCATGCTCCAATATAGTGATGTAAAAGATCTTTGGAATAATTTTATTCAGTTTTCATCATTACCTGGTCAGGGAGAGACAGGTACATCAAAAGTAGGTCTTTATTTTTTAAAGTTTAAAAAATTTATGGGGTTTTATATTTTAATTTTATTTTCACTGCTATGTCATTTGTTTTTTTAGGTAGGACAAACTTATTGTGGTGCCATAAATATGAGCAGAAAAGTTCCTGCTGGTTCCTCTACTGTAAGTTATTGAGTTAACTACTTTATGAATATAAAATGATAATTTTTGAAAATTTAAGTTTTACTAGCATAAGTTTGGAGAAGTTTCCAAAATAATTGTATGAGCAGTTCATGATTACGGTGGTAGTTAACCAAAAATTAAAAAAAGTTTTCTGCAAAAATTACCCCTAAACAATTATATCCTTTTAAAAGAATTGAAGTTATATAAAGACGTTCAAAAGAATTTTATAGTGAATAGTTTACATAAAATTTTTTAAAAATAATAGGCTATTTTTGGTATTGTTGCCATGGAAACGGAAACAATAAAATGACTTTAAGAAAATTTATCTTAATAAAAAGCGTTAAATTTCAAGATCTTTCTTAATAAGAATAACAACCACTTAAAATAGATAGGGATTTTTTCTATGGCAACTGTTGCTATGGTAACAAAGAAAAAACTGTTTTTCATGGTTACAGGACTCAGGAGTCAACAAAATGTCAAATGTTTCGTTCAAATCAATATACCTGACCCTAAAAAAAATCTGATAAAGTTTCAACATGTTCTGGTGAGAATAACTCAAAATATCATTTCTTTAAGGTAAAAATCAAAAACAGTGAAATTCCGTTCGCAACTTTAAATATTGTTTTTACACTATAAAAAAAAGTTTTATCATAGTGTAGCAAGTTACAGTAAAATGTACCAAATATTCATTTTAAATTTACACAATAATCATTTGTTAATCTAGCAGGTCAGTTTTCGAAAATTTTAATCCAACAACTTTGATTCAGGCTAGAATCATCTACAAATGTATTTTTTTATTAACAATACTATCTGACTCTGTATGAATGCTAAACCCACCTGAGGAATATGAAGGCTTATTATCAAACTCCCTTTTTCGATTTTGTCGTAACTGCTGTTGTAACTATTTCTGGATTTTATAACAGATATTTTCAACCGAAGAAGATTTTTTTTTCTAAAACCTGCATTCGCATTAGCTCCAACTTAATTAACACCCAGTAAGAATACTGCTCAAGAATTAAGAATACTGTTCAGTTCTGCTGCTCCAGAATTCCATTTAATAATAAAAGGTAACACCAACAACTTATTCAGTCAACTTTATTTTACCACAAAATATATGTTTTGGGTATATGCTCCATAAAACTGAATTCAAAGCATCATTTTGATTTTGTGTGATGCCTTTTAAACAATGTTGAAGAAGTTCCAATTCTAATAGTCTGCTAAAAAGGCGTTTCAATTCATCTCTAAATACAGATGGTAAACACTTTGCTTGATTGTATTTATTAGTATTATGGTTGTATTATGTATTTAGTTATTTATGTTATTAGTATTATGTATTTATTAGTATTACGGTTTACAATATCTTGTTAGTAACAACACTACGAACTTGTTCCACTGTGGTAAAAACGATGCTGTTGTAATAAAGTTTCACCTTTTCCCAGAATTGAATGAAAGTAAATTGCCCAATTAGCATTTTGCATATTCTTTAGGCTATTTGAATTCTTCCAAATAGCTGCTCCATAGTAATATTGAAATTTATCAATAACATTCTTTGTAAGGCAGCCACGACCACCAACAGTAAAATCGTCAACAAGCTTATGCCCTTTTTTATCCTTCTTATAATTTCTTAGATTTGTTCCCATTCTTATTTGAATGTATCCAATACAGTCCTCTTAAACAACAATATAATCTGCATACCTTTCAAACATAGCATCCCAAACAACAGCAAAAGATGATGAATCTCCATCACTAACATAAGTAGTATACTTCAAAATATGCAAAGAAAGGGAATTAGAAAAAATTTCAACTACACTATCTTTTTCCATTGATTTTGCTGATGATGGTGTGGTTTATACTGCAGTTTGGTTTATGGATTTCTAACAAATTTTATATCTGTCATTTTTCTTGTTCCATTTATCTAGCCCTGCATTCAAAACAGTGTTTTATTTTTACCTCGTAGTCCAGCACTTCTCCTGTATCAACAGATAAAACAAAAATTACACCTAGTAATGAATTAAATCCATATCGCTTTTGCCAAATACCATCAACAGTCACAGTTATAGAAAACACATCTAAGATATCTGAATTTAAATAATTTCTATCATTTTTTTATTAAATAGCATTTCACATTATTAGCAGCCTGGGTAATGCAGATCTTTGATTCAATTTGAGCAATTGAATAAAGATCTTTCAATAACTTATTGTAGGCATAGTTTGTTATTGGACAAGCAATATTTAACATATAACAAAACTGCTGCAAACTATTTTGGCCAATGCCACATGAAATCCCACCTAATACTGATCTCACATTGGTTTCTGCATAGCTATTTGAATTAAAACAATTATTGTTTGTAGGAAGAAATGTTTGGTGGTGACACAAGTTGCATTTCAAGATAAGTTGTTCTTTCAAACCAGCTCTGTGAGAGTTACCTTGCCATAATTGATGTTTTGATTTTGATAATTTACAACTACTGCAAAAAGCTGAATTAAAAATACAATTTTGAAGCAAATCAACATCAATAATTTTAAAGCTGTGTGGTTTCACTATGTCAGAGGAACTTTGAAACACTAAACAATGAGCTTTTTGTCTGGTTACGTTGTTCTTACTTTCAGCTTGGAGAAAAGGGCAGTTTGCATTTACTTTAAGCTCAGATCTTAGGCCGGGTGAATAAAAATGAGCTATTGGTTTTACATAGTAATTGATCAGCTTTGCTGATCAATTACTATGTAAAAACACCTATTTTGCTTATGTTTTTATTCACGTAAAGCTGAGCAATTACTGAGTAAATCGCCTAATTTTACGTGAATAAAAACTTGAGCAAAACTGCTAAAGTTTTTATTTAGGTAAAGCTGGCCAATTACTGAGTAAAAGCAATCGCTCATTTTTATTTACCCGGCCTCTTGTAACTATTATGGGAGAAGTATTAGTTGATTGCTTTGTTTCATCATGAGAAACATCACATTCAGAAAATGTCTGACTTTTATGACCTTTAAACACACTTGGTCTTTTTTTTTTATAAGATGATCTCTGTTTAGTTCCTGGCATTTTTTATAAATTATAATATATACTTTTAGACTGCTAAAATAGAAAATAAGTATATTATTACATTTATAAAATATACAACTGTAACAGCAATATAACAAAAATAACAACAGCAGCTGTTAAAATTTGTTCTGATTTGTCCCTTGTAAAAATACACCAAATTTGATATTTATTTTAAGGTTATGTTTACACTATCAATACCAGACTTTTAATTGGATGCAATATATTTTTAGACTTTTATTTAGGAACTTGATCCTCATTTACAATGTAGGTATTACGGTTGCTAAGAACGTTGCTATGATTAATAAATTGACATAGGTCAAAAATTGCTAAATTATTGAAAAAAATATATAGAAAATATACCAATGTATATATTTTTTTGCAAGTTCAGAAATTTTTTTTTACTTGCAAAAAAATATATATAAATTCAAAATTTTCAAATTTTTTGGTTAACTACCACCTTAATTGGTCTGGTCTTTATTTTATGATTGTTTGGTCTGGTATTTATATTTAGGTGTATTTACTAAATTTTTAGTTTTTCTTTTATTCTAACTTTATGAGGAAAAGACCATACACTTTAATTATAACATTTGATCCAGTCTCTTGATCTTTTATTTTTAAGTAGAAAATGAATGAGCTATTTTAGACACAAAATAAATTTCACTCAATACTTATTATTTTTTCAGACTTTTACATTCCTGCTGGGATGGCATTTTCCAAATAGGTTAGTCATATTTGCTATTTTATTAAACATAAGAATGGCAAGTATGTTTGCTAGATTTCTATATTAGAACTGTTATTTTGCATTTACATATTTTTAAACCCACACCATTTTTAATTTTACTATTAATATTTAATGTTTCACAGTTTTTTACTTTTGATTTTATATTGCTTTTAAAAAATTTAACTTTATTTTTCTATATTAAAAAGACAAGCATAGGAAAACATAAATGTATTTGGAAAAATGTTTGAAAATTCCTTGTATATGTACTATTTTCAATTTATTTTTGTCACTAAACTTTTGGTCATTACATACTTCTGCATTTAAAACTAACCTATTAGAGATTCATGACAAGATTTTCTTTTAGTTTTCTAATACAGTTAGTTATTTTTTATATTTTGGTAGAATATTAGATAGCAATAATGTTGATAAAAATTGCCTAACTCAGTTTAAATGATTCTCAATTGTCCAAAGCTTTTGTCGTTCTACAACTGTTTTTTGTGGGTGCAGATTTTGAAAAAATCCACTATAAACTGAAAACATTTTCCTCTCATAGCCAGAAACAAAAATTAATTCCAAATAGATTACTTCTTATTTAAAAGATTAATTACTTTTATAAGTTTTTATTTTTTGTTGCTACAATGGTTTACTCTTATTTACAATCATGTTTAGAAAATAATTTTTTGAAAATTTTTTTCACACTTTTTTAATACTTTTGGAGATTAAAAACCTCAAATGATTTAAATAATTTTTTTTTCAAGGTACAAAGACTGGGATCCTTTTGTCAGCATCCCTAATACACCAATGTATATAGGTACTCACTACAGCACTGTTTGGAAAACCATTATTGATGTAATTATTTTGTTTTTCACAAATGGTTTATTTTATAGTTAATTATAAAATTTGTGTAGGGGAGAGTTGGGTAGCCCCGGACACTTCAGGAAAATATAGATTGTACACATGTGATAACATAAAACAAAGTGTCAATCGACTTTTTTTAAAAGTTCAAATGTTCATCTATCGAATTAGAAACAAAACAATAATTATTGTGTATCTTTATAATATACAAAACATAAAAGAAAAAATGTTAGAAAAAAACGGCATGTTTCAAAATTGGAGGGTAGCCCCGGACACATAGTTTAAACATGATTTTTCCTCTTTTTACCAGTGTGACACAAATGTAATATATAATAATTTAGCATTAGACTGTTCTTGACACATTTTAATAAAAAAAAAATCGCCTTCAAAAATTGCCACCGATATATAAGGAATGAGAATGAAAATGTTATCATTTGAAAATATAAACAGGTTTTTTTATAATGGAAATAAACCCTTAAAAACACTTTTTTCAAATCTAATGTTTTTTTATTGGAATTAAATGAATTACTGTTATAGGTTTATGTATTATATTAAATGTAATAATATTTATATAAAAATAGTTGTTTATTATTATTATGTAAACGAATTAAGGTGTCCGGAGCCACCCGATCATACCTCATTCACAAATACTAGTTTTGAAACCAGTGAATTAAAGTTTTAAACAAACTTTTTTTTTAATAACTATTGTAAATAAAAATGCATCTTTAATCATTAAAAAGTTATTAATTTACATAACAATTAGGTATATTAATTTGTGAATCAAATATGATGATACTTCACTCTTCTGGTGGTGGGAAACAATATCTTCCCCTCCCAGTTATTTGCTTCGGCATATTATGATAGATATTTTGCATATGCTATATTTTTACTCAAATAATGTTATTATAGTATTAAAAGTCATATAGCTTCTTTACTTTAAGCTGTACATCAAGTTTAGTTTAAGCTGTACATCAAGAGTTACCCGCTGTCCGGGGCTACCCGACTTTCCCCTACATTTTTTTTTTTGTATAATTCATAAACACAAATCTTGACAAACAAGGCCTTTGATTTATAAATATAGTTTGTTACTCAACAATATGAATGAAGATTATGGTTTCTAATTATGTATGAATATCTAATATAGGAAAAATCCTATTAAAAAAAACAAACAATTGAATTAAATGATTAAAATAAATAATAAAGTTTTATGCTTTGAGAGAAAGTCAATTTTTGTTATTTGAAACATTTTTTAAAATTTTATCTTATAAAAGTTTTACAAAAGATGGTATTTTTAAGTTTTAAAAATACGATCCTTTTGTGAGTATATGTAAAGGTTTTTTTTTATCAATTTTCTCAGAAATCTTAATAAGGTCTATGTTAGTTGTTAAATTTTTTTACAGAGTTTGCAAAACACAAAAAAGATAAATCAGGTCAAATAATATAAGAACCTGATGAAAACCTTCCTAAAAAGCGCGTGCAGTTGCACGCCTTGTTCATCCATGTTTAAAATAATTTTTTTAGACACACTGACCATAGCAGTTTGCATCTTTTATCTTTTAAAGCCTTTTAATAATTTCCAATAATTCATTAAATAAATTTTTAAAACATTTACTAAATAAAAATGTGGTCAAGTTGTCTAAAAAAATTACTTTAAACATGGACAAACAAGGTGTGCAACTCCAAGCATTTTCTGGAAAGGCTTGAAATGAATAAAGTTTGATAACGAATGGCATGTTTGTGACTACACAATTTACTGTAAAATTTTATGATGCAAAAATATAATATATTTATATTATATAATATAGCCTTATTTCTTTGATTAAAACAGCAATATATACAAAAAATTTAAATATTTGCTTTAGGTTGCTCTAAACTATTATTTAACATTTTCAAGTATTTTATTAGTTTCAACTGAATAGAAGAAAGTCTCTAAACAGATTTATATGAAATAAAAATTTATCATTTAAAAAAAGATTAGGATATCTTTGCTACTGTTTAGCTGCCTAATTTTAAAAATCGCCCAAATGAAAATCAAAAAGCTTATTCATCCATCTAATGTTGTATTTTGTTGCAAATTATACTAGTTAATTACTATATATATTATATATTTATATATATTTTATATTTATATATATATTTATATATATATTTTTTCTTTTATGAGTTTCTTCTGCTTGCTTAATTCATCTGTACTGCGGTTGTTTGTATCTTGCATAAGAAATGCTTAACAACTTTATTTTTGACAGATGTTGAATTTTTGCATAGAAGTTTTATATTCAACACTTTCTTTCATTTTTCTTATCTCATTTTTTCTCAATTTAAAAAATAATCTTTAGAAAAACTTACATATATTTTAAAAACCGAAAATCAAGTAACCATAAGAACATTTACTCACTTAATTTCTGTACGTTTGATGTATATGCAGAATAAATGAACATTGTTAATAACATTGATAAAGTTTTCAAACTTGTTTGTAACCCTTCAAAGTTACAAATTAAATTTTTATTTTTAATCATGATAATTTTAATAGTAATGCTGTTATTGTTTATTTATTAATAACTTTTTTATATTGGAATATATATATATATATATATATATATATATATATATATATATATATATATATATATATATATATATATATATATATATATATATATATATATATATATATATATATATATATATATATATATAGACATTTTAACATAATAGTTATTTTAATGCTTATAAAAGCTAGTACTTTTTATTACGTTATTTAATTTGAGTTTTGTAGTTTTTGTAATGTAATGTAAGATAATGTTAATTTTTGCACTAAAATCTTTCATCATTAAAGTTGTTTATAAAATTATTCATAGAAAACATTTGAAAAGATTTATCTTTATCATAAAAAGTACATATTTATATATAAATTATATATTGTATTATATTATAAATAAATTATATTATGTATAATATTCTTTTATAGTTTAAATAAAATAAGTTTATTGTAAACAATCATTAGAAGTAATTTGTTACTTCATTTAATAAAGTAAAACTAACAATCTTTAAAATGCATTTTGCATAAAATAAAAAATTTCACTTTTTAAATATGTTGTAAAATACTTTTTTATTACATTAAAAAAAAGTTGATATAAAATTGTTTTTTTTTTTGAGAATTTTTTTTTTTTACGTTTAGTTTTTTTCATTTTCTCTTTCTTTAAGATTTTCTTTTTCAGGTTGTTTTAATTATCTATTTTATTTCTGTGCATTTTTGAAATGCTTAAGTTGTCAAAACATGCAAATGGTTTAGTTGTAAAAATAAAATATTATCTTTTTGTAAAGTCTTAATTTTACTAAAAATTAAATTTTTTGTTGAGTTTTGTTGAGCATGTTTGCCAAACCAAATTATTTATCTTACAAATTCTTTTGAACAAAATATATATATGAACAATTTTTAATAATATTTATTTAATGGTATGTATGGACTGTTTTTATTGTCTTTCTTATAAAATCAAGATTTGTGGACTTATTGTCTTTTTGCAGTTATTGATTAATTTGTAAGCAAAAAAATTTATTAAAAAATATTTTATCTGAGGGAAAAAAACTTTTTTATAATATAAACAGAATAAAGAAAAATAATTTTAATTTGTAAGCAAAAAAAAAAAAAGTCTTGGTATCATCACATCAAATACTTAACCTCAAATATATGTGTATATATATATATGTGTGTGTATCTTTCTTCATATATATATATATATATATATATATATATATATATATATATATATATATATATATATATATATATATATATATATATATATATATTTTTTTTTTTTAACATCTTCACTTCCAACAAGGCTGCAAGCAACCACTATAAGAGTTGGAAGTTACTGGAAAAGAAAAGACTAAATCTGTAGAGCAAGATAACGATTGACTGATGACTTAAAAGATTGCAAATTATATGAATCAGGAAAGCAAGATGAAGGAAGGGAATTCCAAAGAACTGATGTTCGAGGAAAAAAACTAGAAGAATAAGAGTTTTTGAAGCACTTAGGAACAGTCACAGAAAAAGGATGAGATTTAATTGAATGGCTAGTAACACGAAAATGAATTTTAGTAGATGGCACAAGGGATGCTAGCTCCTTAGAGCAGTGCCTATTATAGTATTTGTAGAAAAGAGAAAGAGAAGCAACATTACGACGATGTGACAAAGGTTGGAGATTGGCTGCCAGAGCAGATCCAATTATGTTTACAATTCGTTTTTGCACCTTGTCTAAAAGAGAAAGAGCATCATTAGAAGATGCGCCCCAGATGTGGCAACAGTATTCCATACAGGGACGGATTTGAGATTTATAGAGATAGAGAATAGAATCTGGAGTAAGAAAGTGTCGAGCTCGATAAAGAGATGCAATCTTAGCAGATGCTAATTTTGCAATGGATTTGATATACGGTTTAAAAGAAAGAATAGAAGTAAGAGTTAATCCTAGAAGATGAATGGTAGATGACTCATCTAGTACATTACCATTCATAAATATAGGAAGATCTAAATTATTACGATGACGATTTGCCGAATAAAATTGAGTTTTATCTGAATTAAAGTTCACCAGCCACTGTGAGCCCCATGCTGTAGCAGAAGTGAGATCCTTTTCAAGCTCAGATACCCCCTCTAAGCGATCAGAGAGTGTAGGCTTCTTATCATGACAAGAGTAAATGGTAGTGTCGTCAGCGAATAATGCCACCTTAGATGTGAGAATATCTGGAAGATCGTTAATGTAAATTAAAAAGAGTATAGGGCCAAGGATTGAACCTTGAGGAACCCCTGAAGTTACAGGATGTGAAGAAGAGTGTTGTCCATCGAGGACAACTTTTATACTACGATTGGAAAGAAAGGACTCAATAATCTTAAAGACGTTACCAGCTACACCATAAGAAGAAAGCTTATCGAGAAGACCAGCATGCCAAACTTTATCAAAAGCTTTAGAAATGTCAAGTGCGATAGCCTTAACCTCTCCACCTCTATCTAATGCACGGTAAAACTTATCGGTTTTTACTGTTAGCACATCAGCTGTAGAGCGAGAAGACCGAAATCCATATTGATGATCAGAAAGTAAGTTATTTGATTCAAGATGAGAGATTAAGTGTTTGTTGATTAAAGATTCAAAAACCTTGCTTATGACAGGAAGAAGACTAATGGGACGGTAGTTAGATGAATCAGATCGCTCACCGGAATTTTTGAAAATAGGGATAACAGATGCTGCTTTCCAGCATGATGGAAAACAAGACTCTGATAAGCACTTGTTAAATAGTTTAGAAAGTATGGATGAAAGCTCCGGAGAACACCTCTGCAAGACTACGACAGGAATGTTGTCAGGACCACAAGCTGTTGAAGAGTCTAAGCAGGAAATTACTTTAGATACAGAAGCTGAAGTGATGCGAATGTCAAGCAAGGGATCAACCTGTTTGACGGCTATGTCAGGTAAAACGCAACTAGTGGAATCAAGAGATGATATTGATGAAAAGTTCTTAGCAAACAATTCAGCTTTGTCTTTAGGTGAGGTGACAAAGTCTGAACCATACAAGAGAGAAGGAATAACAGATTTGCCCTTATTATTGATACTGTTAAAGATTCTCCAGAAGTCTCGAGAGCCTAATTTTTGTGATGAGATACGAGATTTAATGACCTGGGAATAGCGAGCTTTGGCGTCAGACAAAACCTTTTTACAATGGTTTCTGGCGATAGTGAACAGATGTCTGTTTTCTGGAGAATTGTTTTGCTGATAGATATGGAAGTAACGGTTTCGATTAGAAATTGCTGCAGCGCAATGTGAGGAAAACCAAGGAGAAGAGTGAGGCTTGACCTGGAATCGTCGAGAGGGAATAAAAGATTCCATGCCAGCCTGAATCCACGAAGTTATGTAAGAAGCACATTTGTCAGCAGGAAGAGGAAAGATTTCTACCCAAGGGCCATCACGAAGAAAATCACGGAAAGAGTCCCAGTCAGCTTTAAGTTAATTGTATGTGGTACGATGATAGGGGGATTCTGATGAAGTAGAAGAATTTGATAATAGTTTTAGAGAGATCAAACCGTGATCAGAAGTACCTAAGGGTGAATGTGAAGAAATTGAGCACTGACTAGGATCCAAAACAAGACATAAGTCGAGTAGAGAAGGTAAATGATTAGGGTTGTCTGGAAAACGAGTTGGAAAGTTGACTATTTGAGTTAGAGATTGAGAAAGGCAAAAGTTGAGGGCCTTAACGCCAGCAGAGTCACTGACACTAGAGCCAAGCCAATCGGTGTGATGGGCATTAAAGTCACCAACAACGACGATATTGGCCGATGGATAAAGAGAGAGGGCTTGGTCAATTTGATCAGAAATAACATCAAGAATAGTGCAATCTTGGGATGAAGGAGAGCGATATAGAACAAAGAGAAAGGCGATAGAGTGAAGTTGTGCTAAACGAAAGCACATAAATGAATAGTCTGGAGATTCAAACCTAGTTTCACGACAAATGGGTGAGTTCTTACGAATGTAGATGCCCAGGCCAAGCATGTGATTATTGGAGTCTTTACGAATTAAAGGAAGATAACCATCAACACTAAGATCACAAGATGGGACAGCCGAACTCAAATTAGTCTCACAAAAAGCAAGTAGGTCTGGTGAACTTTGCAAGAGATAAGACTCAACAGAAGAAAAGTTACTTCGAAGACCACGAATATTAGTAAATGATAGGTTTAGAGAACTTGGTGATGACGATGGTTTTTTGTGTTTTTTAGTTTTAGGTACTTTAGTCATTTTAAATTTATAAAGAACTTGACTCAAGTATAGATAGTACTCAGTACACTATTTAACATCTAAGCAATAGCCTCATTACTATTAATAAACCCTAAGCCGTAACAAAGGGCTCCAAATGTGGCCTCTGCAATGCACACCAAAAGTACAAACAGGGACACCATCCATGCGCAACATGGCACTGTTAGTACTCTGATATTTTTCGGCTGTTGATGGAATCAGCCTCTCTGAGAGCTACCACAGAGTTCGGGAAACCTGACTACCAGCCAGCCTCAGAACCGTAAAACTGAGTTTTAGAGCTGTACCCTCATTAGGAGATAATAGAATGAGTTGCCCAGTCATAAAAATAGAGACACAAGCAATACCCACGCATTGAGTCAAGAAGATCCAGCGTTCAACATCCTAAACTGGAAACAATGTATTAAAAATACATCTGCGCCAGCCTAATAGATGAGGAAGGGGTGCGAGGCTGGTCAACAGATAGAATCTGTTTACCCCTTAAGTCTTTGCCTAGGAGGCCTTCTACAAGACAGCAGCTGGATGCATGTAACATCTGCCCAAGATGAGTATTTTTATCGAGACACCATCTCTAGCCTTTACTCAACCAAGAGCCCCAAGGCAGGGGGTGTTTTAATTCGGAGTTAACTTCTCCTAGCCTTTGCCTAAAAAAGCGTATCCTACAAGGCAGCAGGACATGGAGCAGGTTGTACTGGGTTACATGTTACCAGTAGAAGGAAAACCTGACCTGACCTTCAGATCTCTTCAGGCTCTTCAGATGCTGACCTTAATTTGAGGGCAGCATGGGTCTGATTTTTTTACTTTTTTCCAGAATAAAGCAGAGTTATTTGCAAAGAAATCTTACTCTAATTTGACTCTTGAATCTAATGGCCATACTATTCCTGCCAGTTAAACAGATTAACCAAATGTTAAACATCCAAATCACTTTCGTTAAACATCCAAATCATAAAATATATATATATATATATATATATAATCATATATATATATAATCATATATATATATATATATATATATATATATATATATATATATATATATATATATATATATATATATATATATAATATATATATATATATATATAATATATATATATATATATATATATATATATATATATATATATATATATATATATATATATATATATATATATATATATATATATATATATATATATATATATATATATATATATATATATATATATATATATATATATATAGATATATATATATATATATATATATAACAGTAAAATAAAATAGAGAATTTATTTGTTACTAAAAATATTTTTTATATGATGCATTGTAACAATCAGATTTATGCATATAATATTTACAAACATTTAAACTTTGAATTTAATAAGCTTGCTAATTTCTGACATCTGTCCTAAGTAATTATGACAATAATATCATAAATTTGAAGTTTTAATAAAGTAAATTGCAATTCTTTTATATGTTGTTGCCTTTTTCATTTTATGAAAAGTTCTTTGTTTTTCTTTTAATTAATTTTTATTTTAATAATAATAAATTATTAAGATAAAAATTACAATATAAATTTGTATGAATAAATGTTACTATTTGAAATTTGTAGGTTATAAATTATACAGTTACCCACTTGGCAGATCTTCGCAAACTTACTTACAATTTTCGTGATAGTATGTTTAACTCTACATTACCATGGCAATTGATTGATAGCGCTGCTGGTAGAGTATCAGTTTTAAAGTAAGAACTTATTTGTGCTTTTTTTAATTAGTAAATAAAAACATGGATAAAATATTTACAAAATATTGATAATAAATTTATTTAAAATGAGTAGTTTAACAAATATAACAGTTTAATAAATGTTTAATATTGTTTAAATTGTAAATGTTTTATTGTATATATGTAAGTATGTATGTATGTATGTATGTATGTATGTATGTATGTATGTATGTATGTATGTATGTATGTATGTATGTATGTATGTATGTATGTATGTATGTATGTATGTATGTATGCATGTATGTATGTATGTATGTATGTATGTATGCATGTATGTATGTATGTATGTATGTATGTATGTATGTATGTATGTATGTATGTATGTATGTATGTATGTATGTATGTATGTATGTATGTATGTATGTATGTATAACTCTTTGTGTCTTTATTTTAACAATAAAGACAGAAAGAGTTTTAGTTTTGAGATTTAGCCATCTAAGTATGATAAAAATATTTTTTTTTTTTTTCTCTTTTCTTTCAAGTTCACAAACATTCATGTGGCATATGGATGGATATATGTATGCATTTGAGGGTGAATATTTATATATAAAATTCTATTATAACTGTAAATTTATATACATACATACATACATACATACATACATACATACATACATACATACATACATACATACATACATACATACATACATACATTCATACATACATACATACATACATACATAGATACATACATACATACATACATACATGCATGCATGCATTCATGCATACATACATACATACATACATACATACATACATACATACATACATACATACATACATACATACATACATACATACATACATGCATACATGCATACATACATACATACATACATACATACATACATACATACATACATACATACATACATACATACATGCATACATACATACATGCATACATACATACATACATACATACATACTTACATATATACATACATACAAATGTCTTTGTGCACTTGCATCAAACATCCTTTATGAATTTATTATAAAATATTTATCTGTGTTGGTTTTAGGTTATATTTATTTGATGGGTTTAGGTTTAGACATGAGTTATTTACATTTGTAAGGTCTAGTTAAAATTTTTTTGTGAGTTTTGATTAATTTTTTAATTTTATTTTGGTAGGTTGTTATAATTCAGCTGGTTCATGTCCACTTAATTGCACTCATGTGTTGACTTTTGAAATGGCACTTGCATTGTAAGTCTTAAAAAAATCTTATTTTTGCAGAAAATATGCGAAGTTGTTATTGTGTAGAAGTTGTTATTGTGTAGAAGTTGTTATTGTGTAGAAGTTGTTATTGTTTAGAATTATGACTCACAATCAAAAATAAGACTTACATATTGTAACGCAATTTTATTTTATAATCCTTACTTTTTGTAACACTTTATTTGTTGAAATAATGCTGTAAAACATTTTCTGGATATTTCATAATAATTTTTTAAAAGTGATTTACTATCAAAGTTCATTTGACATCAAATTTTGAGACATATGATTATAAAAAATGGTCTAACCTATAAACAATATATAAATTGAAAAAAGTTCACCCTTAACCACATAAAAATAAAAAATATACCTAGAATTGATGTTGTTAGCAAGTAGAAAATTTTTAAAACAAGGTCCAAAATGTAAACCTATAAAAAAGAATTACACTGTTGAATAACTAAAACCATAATATCTCTATTATTCCACCTAAATCATCATAAGATACATCGAGAATAATATCATCGGTTGTTAAATTTGTTAAATCATTTGTTACTGACACTGATAAATATTTACCCCAAGTCTTTAATGTGCACTCAATAAAAGTCTTTAATGTGTACTCAATAAAAGTCTTGTGCACTTAATAAAAGTCTGTGATAAGTTTAAAGATTAAATAATGATACACTTATAAGTTTTAATGAATTCAGATACTATCTGATGATACACTCATAAGTTTTAATGAATTCAGATACTATCTGATGATACACTCATAAGTTTTAATAAATTCAGATACTATCTGATGATACACTCATAAGTTTTAATGAATTCAGATACTATCTGATGATACACTCATAAGTTTTAATGAATTCAGATACTATCTGATGATACACTCATAAGTTTTAATGAATTCAGATACTATCTGATGACACACTCATAAGTTTTGATGAGTTCAGATACTATCTGATGGTACACTCATAAGTTTTAATGAATTCAGATATTAATATTTTGTTACAAATTTAATAATCTTTACATATATGTGGTTTATACAAAAGTTGCATATTAAGAAAATAATGTCAAAACAATAAAGAAAAAGAGTTTTATTTAGTGGGTTAATTTTTAGAAAAAAGTTAACTCTATGCTTCTTTAAAATAGAAAATATAAAAATATAAACCAAATATATTAAAAATTATAATAAATAAAAAAAATATAAAAAAATATAAACCAACTCCAACTTAATCCAATGTCTATTAATCTTACGGAAAAGGTTCACCCTGGACTACATTAAAATTAGAAATAACCTAAACAAACCATTTCCAATGTACTGATAATAGCTTTGATTATGAAAGAGTTTAAGGAAGTGGTTGTTTTGCCAGAAAAACGAATGAAAAAAGTGTTAGGCACTTAATTATCATGTTTGGTACTGTAATGGTGTTTTTCAAAAGCAGGCTACTCACAAATCTGAATGTAGCACATCCCTGTTTAATCACTTATTTAAAAAAAAAAGTCAAGCATTGTTCAGCATTGATGGTGCATTGATGAACAAACTTCTGCTCTGGTAAAATAAAAGAAAAAGAAAATTTAACCAAAATATCTTATCTGCAGTATTAAAGCCATGCTTTGTTTCCAGCTGCTTTGCAATTAACCAAAATCTTAACTTAAAGCATTGTATCAAGAAGCAACTAGTATCTTTTATCAAAGAATATTGCGTTGACCAATACTTATTTTGGCCTTCCCTGGCTTCAACATGTTATATCAATACAGTGATGTCATTTATTTTGAAAATTCCATTAAATTATATTTCCAAAGTGAGTAACCAGCAAAATATCACAGAATGTTTCCCAGTTAAGGATTTTTGGAGTAATATAAAAGAATTTGTCTATGCATGAATTAACTCTCTATTAGGATAAATTCAACAGTAATTTTCAAGACCATTGATAAAAATTTGAATCAATTCAAAATTTTAAATATTTTATATTTAGTGCATTTTCAGGGAAATATTTTTTTTATAAATTTGCATTGTCGAACCTATGCAAAGTTTAAGCCTGTAGAAATGAATGAAAATTTAAAACTTAATGATTACATCGGTCAAAATTCTTGGCTAATATTTAAAATAGTGCCTTACTTATCAAAGTAGTTAAAAAGCTCACCTGATTTGTGGACTCGTGATTCTGATTATAAAAATATGAAAAGGTTTGTAAAAAGGATAGTCTGTGTCAAAAACTGTTGTGAAAGATTAAATTGGTAAAAGACTTTATCGATTCAACAATTAAATAGGAAAAGTTACAAGATATTTTACTGGTTTTGAAGGAACACAGAGTTAATTTTCCATTTTATAAATGTATCTGGTCTAAAAAAATACTTAATAAATTGTAAGAAAAGTTTAACTTTTTATAGAAAAATTTAACTAAATTTTTAATGTATATTATTTACAAAACCTGTTTGTAAAACCTCTAGTAAAATTCGTTTACATTTTTAACAGTTTACTTTCATTTTTTATCTTTATTAAGTTCAATATTTGGATTCCTTACATAACAAACTTCTTAAATGCAAATTTTATTAAGTTTTTAATGAATATTAAGGAGTATTTAAAATCATAACTTTAACATTAATAATTTATGGTGAAATGGGTTGATGCAAATCATATTTTATTTTTAGATATTTAATTAGTCTTTTAAATTATTTAGTTTTATAATTGAAGATACTGTTTAAAAAATAAAACAATTGGTCCTTATTAAATATGAACAAAGAAAATTATAATCATTTTGCAATGGAAAAAACAGCATAATCCACTTTGACCTTACTTCTAATATAAAGTTATAAATCTTGTATTTTTCAAGATGTAATAAATATTTGATATCTTGATATAATAACTTGATGTTTATCTTAATAAGACTTTTTTATATATTAAGTAAATACAAGTAAATAAATATGTTATTTTTAAAATGGTAACTTGATTTTGAATGGTTTTGCAATTTAAAAATTTAATATCTCAAAACTAAAAATATGTCATAATTTTACTTGGACTCGTTTTTATATATATATATATATATATATATATATATATATATATATATATATATATATATATATATATATATATATATATATATATATATATCGTTGTTTTGATTATGTGATAATAATCAACTCTTTTTCGATTTGAGAGTGACCAATATGAAGTAAATAATCACAAAATAGATCAATAAATAAATAGTTAGGTTTAAAAAAAAAACTTTTTTACGGTACTTAAAGTTTCATGCCATTTTCGACACTCATCAGCCATAAATTTAAGTTCTACAAAATAGAGTGCTAAATGTTCTTAAAAGAACAGAGCAATTATAAAAGAGAAGAAAATCACTTAACAAAAAAAATTTTTTTAAGTGATTTTTTTCTATATATATTATAAATTGAAGTTTTTTAATAAAACTTCAATTTATACAAAAAATTAAATTACAGGAAGTTGCAAATGTCTTAACTACTGTAAATTTTCACACATTTGTGGAATATGCTGACACTATTATAAAAAGAATTCTTTAGAAGTGATTACTTCTGCTTATATAGTTTAGAAAAAAAAAAATTTCAACAATATTAGGACCCGTCAAGAATTTTGAACCCTAAGAGGAACCTCAAGAACACATCTAAATTTAAAAAAATAGTAAAGTTTTTTTTTCACCAAAAGACATCGATTTGCAGCTCAGGCAAATTAAATTTCAAAAAAATTTTAAATTGCTCCATCCTAATATATATATATATATATATATATATATATATATATATATATATATATATATATATATATATATATATATATATATATATATATATATATATATATATATATATATATATATATATATATATATGCACTACTGTATATGATTTTTATTCTGTAACTTAAAATTGCAACATTGTTTTGATCAGGTCTAGTCATTATTTGTAAAATATTATAAATTTATAGTTTGTATCCAGACCTTGAAAGGACAATGCGTGAGATTGACTTGCTTTTTCAAATTACTCCACATGGTGTAGTACCAAGGTAATTTACCTTAATAAATTTTATTTTATATTCATTTATCTTTTTAAGTAATGTAAATATATACAATAGTGAGATTAATTTTTATCAAAATCTTTCAATTAATTTTTCGATTTAGTCGTAGTCCATGTCCACTTGAATTGCGACGACTTTGGACAACATGGGAAAACTACTCTACTGATCCTGCTTCATGTATGATCTGTGTTGATGGAGAATTAGGAACAGTTCTTAAAACTTACAGAGAGGTGATTTTATTGTTTATTTTAAACACTAAAAGTTGTATGCTGTAAAAAATATGTAGCAAAAACTTAGTGTGATTTTTAATGTTTTTTCAGATTCGTCAAGGTGCATCTAAAAGTTGGTTCAATACAGTTTGGAATCCAATTAAATTACTAATAAATCGATGGCTTGATGTTATGGACACTGATAAAAATGGTTTGCTTTTTTTTATTTCAGAAATCTTTAACGTTAATATGACACTATTTTTATAACTTATATTAAGAGTTTGTAAATTAATTTGTTGCAATTTCATAAAAAAATTTTATTGCAAAAAACTAAAAACTTTGTTTCAAAAAAAAGACTTTTATTTTAAGGCAATCCACAAATCAATAAATCCACAAAATCACTTTTAAAGTTTTATGAAATAAAGTAATAGCTTTGCATTACCAATTAGAAGAGATTTTGATTGACAATGCACAGCTTATCAGCACTAGGCACTTGGACTGAGCAATGTCTAAATTATATGGTTGCCAGGTTAAGACATTCCTAATCAAATCTTTTTAATTGGTTGTATGAAGTAAAGTGTTTCTCCATGCACTATCAATTAAAAGTTGCACTATCGATTAGGAGTTAGATGGAATTGGACAGAGCAATGTCTGGATTATACAATTGGTGGGTTAGGATTTCCTAATTGAGTGTTGTTTGTTGTTATTGTTTCCAAGTAGGTTTTTACAGGCTTAGCAACATATGGCTACCAGTGTTGTGATGTAACTTGTTGCCTATTGGTTTTAATTGATATTCGGTTTTCTTTTATTTAAAAATTGGTATTATGAAATACCAGATAAAATGTTTTCTGAATAGGATAACATACAGTAGGTTTTCCTGACTCTATTTAAGGTTTTTTTTTGTGCTTCCTAGGTAGTGGCTGTGCAACTCTCTCTGTTATCTCCTAATGAGATAAAGCTTTAAAATTCAGTTTAATGGTTTCAAAACGGGCTATCAGTTAAGTTTCCACACTCTGTAGTAACTTTTTAACTGTAAATGCTAATCAACTTCATCAACAAATGTAAATTATTAAAGTATTGCCATATTGTGCTCAACTTGTTTCTTCATTTAATTTGTTGTTCATTATTCATCAAAATTTTTTATTTAAGGATCTTTTACTCTTACTTGGATTATTACAAGTCAAATCTGGAGAACAGTTTTACAAAGAATTTTTTTTTTATGTTTAGTAGGAGGAGAAGGTAAGCAACGTAATCAACCACTTTTAAGTAATCTCTTAAAAAAACAAAAATTAAACTATTTGTAAACAAGGTGTGCTCAATAATTCTATAACACAATAATAAGCGTTTAGTTCACAAAGTAAATTTGTATAAAAAAGAAAAGACTGAGGTGCATGGTTTGTTCAAAAAAACTGGGCTTAGCAACTACTTATGAGTGTCGGTTAGTTTAATTCCAATTTTTCTTTTTTCTTTTTTCTTTTTTACATTGGTAAGGAAGAAGTCATGAACTTTCTGGTTAAATACACCAAAACAAAATAAATCTATTTATCCGCCTTTTAAAAAATAAAGTAACCTTTGAAATCATTAATTCCCAACTTAACTACTGTTCAGTTAAATCTTCTTTTTTAGATGATGTAAAAGAATTGTGTGATATTCATAAACTGAATATGAAAACCTTAAAAATTACTTTTTTTACTTTGATTTTGTTTACGCTAAATTTCATGCGCCTAAGTCTTAACTAACCAATGTCCTCCTGAAAATACGCCAAGTCCACATTTGACTTTATTTTGGCAACCAAATGGCTATGATTGGCAAAAAGTTTTTAAATGTTTTCCAGACAACTCTAATAACCTTTATCCTTTTTTATGTGTCTCTGCCTTACCCTAGGTTGTGCTCAGAATAACTTTGTTCTTCTTTAGGTGGTTCAGATCATGCAATAATCTCTCTAAAATGTTCACCTCATACTTCTACATCAGATTCTATCATTTTACTTCTTACTACCTGAAGGCTAAAGGTTGGATAATTAACTGGGATTTCTATTTGTGATTTTATCTCTTCTAATAATTACACCTTTTACATAATCTAATAGATTACAAGGTTTTATTTTTAAGACTTTTATTTGTTTTTTTGAATGAAATAACCATTTACAGTATTGGACAAAACAAGTGCAACCAATTAATGCTAAATTAGTTTCTTTATATAAAAGTGTTGCATTTTTTCAATTTAGAGAAATAACTATGTAACTGTTTAGAGACAACGTTCTTCAAGTTTTGTTCATCACAAAGCTCATTATTTGTACACAAAAATTAATAATTTAATTAAAAATATTTAAAAAAGTTGATTTCCTTCTGGACAAAACAAGTGCAACTCTACAAAATATTGACCTAGCTGTATTTCACAATCAATATTTCGTGGCAAATCCTTTGTTGTCGATCACAGACTTGCATCTTTGAGGCATAGGTTATCAGGCAAAGTTTTATTAATCAGGCAATCATTAATCATTAATGAAACTTTGTGGAATCGCTGCCCAGGCCTTTTGGATTTGTTCAAAAAGTTGATCCTTATTATGAACACCTTCATGATTAATTCTGCGGTTGACGATCTCCCACAGTTTCTCGATAGGGTTGAGATCCGGAGATTGAGGCAGCCAATCCATCACCGATAGGTGGTTGTCTTGAAATCACTGCTTGACTACTTTTACAGTGTGTTTCGATTCGTTGTCTTGCTGAAAAACCCATTTTACTGGCATATTCCATTCAGCATGAGGTAACATAACATCTTTCAGGATATCTTTTGCAGAATTCTTTGCAGGGCATCGAGAAAATAATCCGGCTTCAACAGCACGTTGTCTGATTGTTTGGTCTGATACAGGCAGCTCTAATTGCTTTTGTATCCTCTCTAGAATCCTCTCTAGAAGTGGTGGAATGTGGTCTTCCACCTTTGCTATCTGCTGCCAACTTCTCCGTAGAACGATATTTGGAACATAGTCTTGATACGGTCCATTTTTTCACGCAATATTTATCACAAATACTTTTTTGTGACATTCCACTTATGTAATCGCCAATAATTTTCATTCTTAGTTTTAATCCAAGACTGTCGGGAGCCATTTTTGCACTTGGATGCTTCTGAATGTTTCTGGATATTTCTGGATGCTTCTGGATGCTTCCAGATGCATCTTCTGGAAACTTCTGCATGCTCCTGGAAACTTCTGGATACTTCCTTTAATTATTAAAAAACTTCCGTGGCGTTGACCCGGACCAGACTTAAGAAAATGAAACAAACCAAAAAAGTTGCACTTGTTTTGTCCGCTGCAAAATGGCACTTGTCAACGAAATTCTACCTGTGTGCTGTCACCTGTCAGCTGATTGCTCGAGTCATGGCATGCTATGACTCCAGACTCCTGAACTGTTTGCTGTGGTAGTATAGTTCGTTTCGTTTTTAAGACATGTAGAATTAGGAACACTTTTTAGCGTTGTTTGATGTTGGTTGCAAATGTTTTGTTCAATACTGTATATTAATGATCTTACTAAGAATTTTACCTCTAATGTGGCACTATTTGCTGATGACACAACTACTTGCTGATGACACAACTACTTGCTGATAAAACAACTACTTGCTGATAAAACAACTACTTGCTGATGACACAACTGTTTGACAAAACCATGTACTCCAGTCTGGATAAAAGTTCATCATTTTTTGATTGCTTAGAATAGATTATGATTTGTTTTCTGTGATAGCTTCGAATGTGCAAATAAATTTTAGGTATTAGCCTTAAAAAAAGTCAGTTGTACTGTTAATAGTTGTTGCAATATTGTTCATATGTTCATATTGATGAATGGCAACAGTTTTTCTGAGTTTACTTTTTCTTAGATTCTCTTTTACCACTGACTTCTTATAGAAACCATATATATAATCCATTACAAAGTTAGTATCTGCTGAAGTTGCCTCTTTTATTATGTTTGCTATTTTTGCACTCCTGTTTCCGTTCCCTACCTTTATAAATCTATGTTTGACTTTGTATGGAATAATATTGTTATATTTTGGCTAGTTTTTCTAATGATCTAAAAATGAATGTTTGATGTATAAAATATTATTGGGACAACTTGGATATTATTATATAAAAATTAAAATGTTACTACATCATCATAGGGCGGGGCCATACCTGTTCCCATGGTTGTGGAAAGATTCTGTGGGTTAAATGGTTTTTTACATGATATCAATAAAAGCAATGAGTGGGCATTTAATGGGTCTGTTATATGGCAGTGCTCTCTTTAAATAAAATTTCACTCTGTTAACAACTTAATAAATTTGTGTTTATAATTTTTAAACAGGAATGATATATGGTCCGCAGCCAAATACTTATGATGTTGCAACATATGGGTATTCAACGCTGATTGGTTTGCTCTATTTATGTGCATTGAGGTATTACTTTTTTGATCAATATCTGATTTGATGACACTGTTTAACTTTAGTGTTATAATTACTTTTTATCTGAAAGAAACAAGCAAATTTTGTTTTAGTTTTTTAATAATTTAAAAATCAAACTAGTATATTTTAAAGGCTGGTGCGCTCGTACCAGTAAATGTCAATCATTATGATTAACAGATTTTTTTTTACTCAAATATTCTTACAATTGCTTGTTTAGTTTTTGATAAATATTTTGTTTTGTTTAATGATTGGTATTAAGAGCTTTAGTATTTGATATGATAGCTTATTGCCCTACAAAATTAAAAATTGCTAAAAGTCTGTAGCAAGAGAATCATCAGGCTTGGTCGGGAAGCGGGAGCAATTGCTCTCAAATACTGACCACGGAAATTATATTTAGTTGCGAAAAACTGGCCAGGTTATTTAGCTGTTTTGAGAACATTTAAGTTTATGTACGAAACAAAAAAAAATTTTGTTTTACGGTCATACATGGAAACATAAAAAACTTGAATGTTCTCAAAACATCTAGGTGCGGAAGAATAAAAAGAATATTCGCAAACACTAAAAACCCGCCAAATTAACGAACAAACTAATTCTATTGGTTCAAAAAATACGTTGACTAAGCGAAATAAATTTTTAGAGTATTCTATTGAAATGTTTTAGAATTTGTATTATTCACGATTTGTTATGTTTTGAGATTTCTAACATAAATTGTTTTAAGAATATATTATCAATACTATCGCTCATTCTCGGAACCACATCTACAAAGCTATAAATCTTATCAACTATTATTATTTGTTTACAAAAATAAATGTTTTAAAGATATATTATTTAAGTTGTAAAAATTTTGAAAGTTTATTATAAATTATAGATTTTATTAGTATATTCTTATTTTTTATTTAAAAAGTATGTATTCTTTATGTAAATGTAATTTTGTGTATCTGTTTTTTATCGTAATGTATCTTTTAAAGCAATTTTTATAATTTAATTTGTAAACAAAGACTTACAAAAATAATTTGCGTTTTCAAAGAAGTTAATAATAATGATTAAAGTTAATAAAACTAATTATGTAACAAACATATAAGAAGTTTCTGGTTTCTAAACACAAACAATGCGTACAAAGTAACTCGCGGATGAACAAGCACCGTACCTGAGGTCACGACAGAACACAAATATATATAGCAAATTATTAGATATAGTAAAGTTTCTAGATATTGGTTTATTAACTCTAATTATTTTCGCTTAAGTTGCTTAAATAAAACTATAACTTGCAAACTTTGTTAAATAAAGAACATTTGTTTCCTTTTTAAACAATTGTTAGATGTTACTTTATATAAAAAACGTCGTCTAATTTTATAAAAAAAGTCTTTTCGCGTTAAAAGATTTTTTTTTTTCCTAATTTTTTTTTTTTTTTTTTTTTTTTTGTAATTGTCTATCATCAGTCCAATTAATGTTTAGCGCATTTTTTTTTTTTTGCTTTTTGAAATGTTTTCAAAACGAATAAAAAATCTGGCCAGCTTTTTGCAACTAAATGTTATTTCCATGGTCAGCAATTGAGAGCGATCACTCTCGCTTCCCAACCAAGCCTGAATCATAGATTCAATTTAGAGATGTAGCAGAGGTTTATTGGAGCCTAAAAAACATTATTGATTTATACACATTGCTCTATATTATAATTCAAAATGTGACATTTTATCAAAACATTTGTTTATGTTGTTAAAATTATTTTTTGGTTTTAATATTAAAGGTGAAAGCAATAAATTATCAAGATTCATGTCTTTATTGTTATTATTTTTTCTTTTAGGGCTACTGAAGAAATGGCAAAACTTCAAAATGATATAGTAATTTTTTGTTTCTTTTTACTTTCTTGTAATGTAATTTTACAAGAAAATAATGAAAATTTTAGCTATTATTTCAATCAATTCAAAAGTTATTTTAATTTGAAGTTATCCATTATTTTAGTTTGAAGTTATCCATGTACGGATCTAACACTTTCAAACAGTCATAAATGTTGATTTGAAACACTTTCAAACAGTCATAAATGTTGAATTGAAAAAGTTCTGAATTTTTATCAGTCAATTTAAAATCATTTTTTAAACATGTCTGTAACACACTTTTTTCTGTTAACCAAAACAACTCCAGGAGCATTCAATAAAAATCTACAACATACAGAAAACCAGTCTAGGTTAACCAAAAAGGTTCAAAAGCACAAAATGACTAAAAGCTCACCTTGAATCATCACTTACTTAAGAAATTTCCATTTAATAACACTTTATTAAAATGCTATTCTGCAATCAACCCTATGTCTCAAGGTCACAAAATTACAGAGGGAATGTTAAAAAAACTCCTAACTCTCTTTTTTTCTCTAGATATAAATAAAGTACAATTTAATTGAGAAATTATGCAGCTTTAAATAGATATAGAGCTTAAAACTTGTATTTGCTGATGGAAAGCCTTGACTTTTGGTTGGCAAAAGTTTTTAGGTGTAAAAAATATTTAGTGCTTAGTAAAATTATCAAGGTATGTCTAAGTAGTCTTCCCGTTGAGCAATTATTCAGCGCAATTATTCAGAGCAATTATTATGATGAATATCATAATAAGAAAAAAAAAATTGTCTTTATACTTCAACATACTCTGCTATAACTTCAGTTAAGTAGCAGTTATTACCAAACAAGACCAAGGGGCTAGGGTACTTTAAGAGACAAGATATATTGCAAGACCCAGTTAACAAAAACATCTGTGGTCATTTGCAAACTGCTAGCAAATGCTATATTAAAAAAGTGAAAAACAGAAATCTTAAACAATATTTTGTTAGTATAAGTTCATAAATTATTATTAAGTATAATTTAGTAAATAAATTATCACGTTTTGCAGGTTGTTTACAGTGAAACTGAGATTTAGAGAAAAAAAATTATTCAGTAGTTTTTAGTTACTTTATTTATCCCTTTACCAAGGTTCAAGAATTCACCCACAAACCTTCATCAATTTGTTGACCATAAATTTTTTCGGGGGGTTTATCCAAAATTTTTATGAAAATATTTTTGCGGGATTTTCAGGATTTTCATAATGTTAAAAACTCATCTATGGTTATTGACAAACTGTACTGAATTTCCTAGAGTATAAATCCGTGAACCAAAGATTGACAATCGTTTTTCTTTAACATCCTTAAGTTGTTTTTTGTTATTTTTTAAGAAGATTATTTGCACCTTTAACATCTTTCAATGATTGAATAATAATTCTCTATTCACTAAAAAAAATATGAATCAAAAAATGAGAAACCAATTCTTTATTTCAATATCAAACATGGGTCCATCAAGAATTGTTTTCAAAAAGCTTTTCAAGCCTTCTCAAAAATATTAAATCATTCATTGGTGCATTTGTGGGTAAAGCTGGTGAAAACCATGTTTGAATATAACCATCTATATTACAAAGTCTTTGTTTTTCTTTGGATTTTATTTGAAATAATTGAGTATCTGTTATTGTTTTTTGAAACAAAAGTTTCATGAAAATAAAGTTTTGCCATTCATCCTGAAGTTGAAGCTCAAAATCTAATTCCTCCTAGAGGCAGGCCTCCAAGAAAAACAATGTCAAGAGTAAATAGTTTTTGGTAATCATTTTGTGGAAGTATTTCTTTTAGTTTTGGCTGGCTCAATAAATAAATAAAAATAGTTATTATTAATAGTAGTAGTTAATAATGAGTAAATAATGTACAAAAATTATTAAGCAAATTATATAGTTCTAATATAATAAAAAATTAAACATTAAAAAAAAAAAAACTTTTGAGTTTTTGTGTATTATGGAGTATGCGCCTGTTGACAGCTGAATAAAAAATAAAAAAATTATTGATAAACTTGCTAAATTATGTAAAAATAAGTCAATGAAGCACCTCAAAATTAAGTCTTTTATGAACCAAATTTTGCATGTTGTTTTTTTATTAAAGCAAATTAGAAAAAATGTTAGCAGGTAAAACATTTTGATGCTTGATTTATACCATGTCTAAAAAAACCACCCTAATAAGGATATACTTGGCATGTCCATATCATGGTTATCATCACATAATTTTCATCTTTTATAGTGCTAACTGTTATTAAATATTGTTGATAATCAATTTTTCAGATTGTTAACTTTGTTTTAAATTTTTACATTTTACACATTTATAATGTTTAAAAATAATGATGATTGCACAACACATGCTGTCTGTTTGAACTAGATCCCTTTTCAACTATTTTAGATTATGTAAACACTGACAGAAGTTTTTGAAGATGGTTACAACAAAAAACATGTAGTTGAGTCACAAATACATACAGGACTAAGTAATTAACAAAAGTGTACAGGGGGGGGGGGCTATACTTGTGCGTAAGTCTGCAAGATTTACTACCTAGAAGAAATATTTCTTATATATAGAGTTCTGTTTAAAAATGAGAAAAGTGTAGTGTATTTTTTTATTTTATTTAGTTCTATTGAATATCTAAGTTGACAGCAAAGTGTTATTTTCATTTAGTAGACATTTGTAAATGAGTCCAAAAATGACGATGATGTGTTTATTAACTTTATCGTTCTATTGAATAAATGTTTTTATTGACCACAACCTAAAAAGGAATTTGCTGAAGGCTGTAGCATCCACACAATTTTAAATGTTTCAGAGAAAAACAAATGAAGCATTTTTTTTTCCAGCATAAATCACTCAAATGGGATAAAGAAAATGGTGTAGAAAAAGAACTGTTTTTTTTAATTATTGGTTTATTATAGATTCTAAAATAAAGTTGTTTTTCTGTGATGAGGGCATCATTGAAGTCATTTTATTTATTGAGAGTATTTAGGTTGATTAAACATTTTCAAAAAAAGTGCTTTTTAGTAGCTTGTCTGACTTTTTGCTTATTAAAGGAAAAAGGCTAGTTTTTTAGTTTTTTTATTTGAAAAGAATCAAATTCTTGTCAATACTGATTTTTTGATAAATGTTGAATAATTCTACAAATATTTTTTTGATTTGTTCATAAGCCTTTTCTTTTTCTTAGAGGCGTATCTGTAAAATATGGATAGTATCTGTATATCTATTTAAATGTGTTATTATTAACATGGAGGTGTAATCTGTAAAATACGGATAGTATCTGTAAATGCTAAAATGTTACGTTGTAGAAGAAACAAATGGTACTTAAAAATCTGCCTCTGTATTTCAATGGTTTTTTCCATAAAGTTTGTGATATTCTATTACAAATTTTGTTTTAATAAATGCAATTAAGTTTTTTTTTTAATATATAGTACTTTATTTGATATTGTAAACCATATAAATAACTATGATATAGAATAGAATCTATTTTATCTTGGTCAAATTTTTTCATTATGAAATCAGCAAGATTATTGCCTTTAGCAAAGTGTTCATTTACTAATCTTATAAAGTATAAAATATATACAGCTAACATTGCATGTTATAACTTCAAATTATATAAATGTCACAAAATATTAAAACAAGGAAATTTCTTGTGTAATAAACATTAATTTTGTAACTTCTTCCAGTTTTTATTCTGATTAATGTCGTATTTAAATTTAGAATCTAAGTTATTATTTTCAACACCATAACCAGCCAATTTATTATCTGAAGTAAACAGTTTTCATCATCCATAAACCCTATTTAACTTCAACGAGAGTAATAATAACATTTTTTTCTATATTAAAATCAGATGGTTCAGTTTTATTAGTATCTCTAGAAGGAAGATCTTAAGGAATTATTTCAGCAACTTCTACAGTACTGTATAATATATAATTCTAAAAATAAATTTTCACAGATATTTACAAATAGTAATGAAATACTAATCTCAAGTAAATACCTTAAAAAATAATTTTTATTAATATATAATTAATTATATATTAATAAAAGTTATTATTAATAATGATAATAATAATTGTAATAAAACAATAATAATGAAAATAGTAACGTTAGTAACAATAATTAATATTAAGAAATAGAATTATAAATAAGTAAAATAATTAACTATAAACAAAATTTTAAGTATAGAAGAAAGAAGGGAATAAAATATAAACAAAAAAAACATTAACAGAGTGACATCAAGCTAGTTATTATAATAATGATAATAGTAGTAATAATAATAGATAAATTAAAAATATTTAAAGAATATAGAAGGAAATAAAAAAGAATATAGAAGGATATTTAAAGAAAGCAATTAAAGACAATAGTCAAAGTTGATTTAAGAAAACATGGGAAATATAAATTTACCAACATTAATAACAACAACAAAAACTAATAAAAAGCAGCGATAATAACAAAACAAAAAAACACAAAATATAAAACAAAAAATTAATGTTTGATTATAAAATTGTTATCAATTAATTTTATTACAACAGATCTGATTCAATAAACATAACAAAAAACATTCAGTTATTATATTACCGTGGAAAATAGTTTTTTTTCTCAATTTAAGTTTTATTTCTTTTAAATTACTTTTAACTTCTTTTCTTAAATATCTTCTTTGCTTTGTTTTTTTGCTTTGTTTTTATCTTTCAATATATTTATGCATTTTTAAAATTTTTTTTTTTTTCTTTCCATATTTTAACTGTTTCTTTTTCTTTACATTTTCCTATCTTTTCGACATTTAAAAACTTTGTTTCTTTCTTTATTTATTTTTTACTTTTTTTCTTTAAAATTTTTTGTTATCAAAAAACTATTGTTATTTCAGAAAGCAAATCATTTATTTATAACTTTTGTTTTGTTATACACTTCTTTAAACAAAAAAATGTTTTGCTTTTTGTTTCGCTTTAAAATTCAAGTAATAATGTTTTATTGATTTTATTAGTCCCACTTTAATCTTCAGAAAAACATACTATTTGCAATCTTTTTTTACAGTCAAAATAAACTTCAGATGTTTAAGCTGTAAGGCGTATGAAAATGTATATTTATATATGTTTATATATATAAATGTTTATGTTTATATATATATATATATGTTATGTTTTTTTATACACAAATATTTACGTTTTTATATATAAATATAAAATATTGAGTAAAATGGGGTCAAATGGAACAGTTAAAAGTTTTAATTATTAATTTTTTACAGAAAAAAGATTTTTCCTTTTTTTTTTTTTTTAACTTGTAGAGAGTATTGAGCTGTACTTAAATATATAAAAATCTAACAATTTTTTGTAATATTTTTTATGAAACTTTATTTGTTTAAAAAAAAAAATTATTCCATTCTACACTGACATTCAGGGAGAATGAAATACGCAACTATAAGTGTAATTAAAATAACACTTTATTAAAAAAAACAAAAAGCAATCAATAATAACAATTAAAAAAACAATCAATAATAACAATTAAAAAAATCAATCAAGTAAAATAAACTTTTTTATTCTTGTGATGATGTTTAGAGGTACTAGAGGTTGAGTTGATTTTTTACTTGTGCAACACTTTTTGGTGCAATAAAACTCAGCGTCTTTTATGTATCGCTTTGGTATGCATGTTTGACATGCATACCAAAGCGATACATAAAAGAGAAACCTTGCAAATTGAATTTTTACACTGGTACCTTTTGACTTGCTGAAGTTTTGCCCAAAACTATTCTGCACTTTTTACATTTGAATTGGTTTGCAGCTAATATTTTTGTTGGACTTGTTGCTTGGTTTATTTGCTATTCTCAATTAGAGCTAAGCTTACATTGTTTTTTAGCTTGCTTTGCTGCTTTTTTCTCTCAGCATCTTTCAACCTTTCAAGTATTTCAGGTTTTTTCAGACACTCCCATTCGATTCTTGGCACATCTACATTTTTTCTTTTTTTGTGTGTCAATGTGTTGGATACAAAACATTTGTTGCAAAGCTGCTGCAAGTGATTAGGCTGATTACAGTTGTTTCACAACCTCTTTTTGAATTTCCTTTTGGATAGCTGGAGTTACTACAATATTGAAGGTTATTTGCAAACAAGGTTTGTTAGAAACATTTTATAAAAGCAGTAAATAAAAGTCATTTAAATTTGGTCAGAAAAATTTGTTCATTGAAATTTATACAAATAATTTATAGTTGGAGATTTATTGGTCACTTGAGACCTAATAAATAAAAGCCACTTTTAAGAAATATTTATTAGCATATTTCATTTAACCCCACAACACTCCTTTTCCGCTTTTAACTATAACCTTTTTCCCTAAATAGCAAATTTAATTTTGAAAAAAGATTCTTGATCAGCATAAAAAGTTGTGCCAGTAAACATTTTAAGTTCAATGATACCAAATTTAATTTTCGAGAGTTATATAACTTATAAATACCAAATTTAATTTTCGAGAGTTATAAAACTTATAAATTTATAACAAAATTTTTTTTATTAAAAATAAAATTTTATACAATCTTACTCAGAAAAATATTCTCTACAATATATTAAAAAAATATTCAATAGTTAATGAAGAGCGAAAGAATAAACATTGTTATAACTATTTTATTCTACCTGCTATTACATTTTACCCTGTTTTACTCTATACATTTTTTAATCAGCTTTGTTATTAATAAACTTTTTTTTTTTTTCGTATGATTTATTTTAAGAATTTTGCCAAAGTTTGCAGAGATCGCTTTAATCTTGGTACTGTTAACTTAGATAAAGCTTGTTTTACCAACGGAAAATGGTATACACATGTCATGGACCCTGCTCATCCATTTAATGTTTTAGGAAGCTGTAAGAGAATCTTATTTTTTTTTAGTTTGCGAAATATATATATATATATATATATATATATATATATATATATATATATATATATATATATATATATATATATATATATATATATATCCATATATGTATATATATATGTATATATATATGTATATATATATATATATATATATATATATATATATATATATATATATATATATATATATATATATATATATATATATATATATATATATACATCTGTGTGTGTATTTGTTTATTTTATGAATTTTGCAAAAGATTTAATTATATACATGCATGTATGCATATAATTGAACCTTCTGTAAAACTTATAAATAAAATTTCTTTCAATTATTAAGGTACATTTATTGGTGGGATGTACGGACAATGGTGGGCTCACATTCTCAATCTTGGTTACTTACTACCACAAGAACATATTAAGTCACATCTAAAATATACTTATACAAGAAACTTTGTTCCAAGTTTTGATCCAAGTAATTTTTTTTTTATTTAAAATGGAAAAGTTTTAATTTTTTCATTATGTAATATATATACAAGGGATGCGTTTTGTTTAAGACATAAAAACGCATAAATAAAAACAAATTAAATTTAAAAATAAAATCATTAGCCTCCATAACTGTAGTGTAAATACATTTTAGGTAAATATATTTAAATTAAAAAAAAAAAAACGACATCAAGATATTTCAAATATTATATTTCTTCAATTGCCATTTTAGTTTTTAAGATTTTTTTTAAATAAATTACTTTTTAGGTTTACTTTTCTGAGTTTCATTCTAAAAAATCAAAATCAAGATAATTGTTAGTGAATTTCATATCATACTTTGAATTTTATCCTGAAAAATCTAAACCAAGATTTCATATCAACTGCCATTGCAAAATCTAATATATCTATTATATCTATATTTAAATTTAAAGTATACACAGAAATATGCACTACTTTAAACAACTTTAAAGTATGATAAACAAAGTTTATCAATCAATTAAGCAAAATGTTTGATTATACAAAAAAGAAATTGTCTTTATTACCTAAAAGTTCTTATTGTATAATTTTACAAATTTCTAAAGAATACTGAAAACCCGGACTATTATGTTAATTTATTTTGCAACGCATGCATATTTTGCCTGCTTTTTAACATACTGGTTATTTATCTTTTAGCATAACCCAGAATAATACGGAACAGTTATAGCTGTTTGAAATAACTTGTTTGATTTTTATTTCCAAATCAGAATATTCAAAAATTATTTTTTTCATAATTTTTCTAGTACATAATTATCTTACTATTTATAATAAAAAAATAATATAACTTTGATTTAATATTTAGGTTAATAATTAAACTAAACCATTTGAATCTTAGCTTCAATTTATATATACAATATAATTTAAGCTAGTTTTTTAAAATGATGTTGTTTGAAAGTTTTATTTTAGATTTTTTGCTTTGATATGTCTGAAAGATATGCCAAAAGAAAAAAAGGTTTAGGCTCGACTGTAAATAGTTCTAGAAAAAAAAAAGAAGAAGAAGAAGATAAAGAAAATCTGTCTGTAAATAAACAAATAATCTCTAATAGATGTGATAGCGCCTTGTGGTTTGTTGATTTCAAAAAATTGAGACCAACACTTGTGCAGTAAAAGCTTAAGCAATCCTTCATCAACAAATTTAAGTTTTAAACTATATGCTCAAGAGATTTATGAAATTTGATACAACTTGAAAAACAACAAGTTTTTGTGTAAAATTTTCAAATTTGGTGACACTGAAAAAACTTACAGTTCAGTTTTGAAGTTTTTTCATTGCTGAATAGAAATTGGTTCTAAGCCTGGAAAGAAAGAAAAACTACAGTTTACTTGTATTTATTGCTATAAAGTATTACATTTGCCACTTGGTATAAGTGGTAATTTATTTAAACATTTTAATTCAGCACAATGTAACAGCAAAGATGATTTTATGGCTTAAAAAAAGGCTTAAGATAATATAAGTCTTGATAATGAAGATGATTCAGGCTTAAATGATGATATTATGGATCTAACTAAATATGTAATATCATCCAATAAGGCAACCCAAGAGCTGGGTAACTTGCATCTAAAAAGACTTTTAGAGTGTCATAAAATTCATTTACCATGTAAGAAGTCTTTTGTTTATAATATAATTCCTACGGTAGTTGAAATAATAAAAAAAACCAATCACGAACCAACTTAGAGCCAAAACTAATTAATGTAACAGCCAAAACTGTTATATTAATAGCTGTCATCTGGGATAGCCATCAAATGGCTGATTTTTTTGCATTATGTTGCCAGGTTACTTTAGCCCGTTACTTTAAGCCGTCAGTAAGATTCTCTTTGTAAATCAAATTTTTTTAACTTCTGACATGTAAAATGCTCATTAAACCGTCAAAATCTTTTTTAAATTTTGAATGTTGTGAGTTTTTAAAAAACAACTAAATTAAAATTATCTTCTACCGTTTAAAAAAAATCATGGCATCAAAGAGACATAGAGAAAACCATGGTCAAAGAGACAAGGAAAAACAAATAAAGAGGTTTCGAAAATTTTTGATATTCCACCACTCTTTCAACCTGGAAAATAAATAAAGATGAAATGTTTGACGCTTTTTGTCAAGGAAATTCTAATGAATGGGTGAAAGTTGATTCGTATTACCTTGTAAACAAATGGTTCAAACGAATGAGGGCTGATGATGTACTAATTAGTGGCTTGCTGGTAAAATAGAAAGTTTTTTATTTTGCAATAGAGTTATGCTTCAAAGATTTTCAAGCTTTGGAAGGATGGCTGGACTAATTTAAGAAAAAGCAAACTAATTTGGAGATTTGGAGAATTTGACAGACTCTTAAAGATATAAATCGTGTCTTTGACATGAATTTACTAGCTCATGAAAGACAATCTGCAATTACTGACTTTTTTTTTCAAATTTAAAAGTTGAAAACACATAATATATAATGCTTTTAGGCCTAAGAATTACTATTTGTTTGTTTGTTTGATTTCTATTTGTTACTTTGAAAAGAGTATTTGAAAAATAGTCAACTTTCTATATTTCAAAAATCTCTGTATTCCAAACTTTTATTTTTCCCCATAAAATTTGAATTAGAGAGATTGTACTGTATTATTGATCAATTAGAGTTTGAACTTGGTAGTGGAAAAGTCCCTTGATTTGCATGCGCAAACCACAAATTTAATATTTCTATACATAATACTGTAAGGTCATGCAAACGATTGAAAACTGTTTTGTCATTGCTTTGTTTAATTATACTCATAATTTGTTTAATTAAACAGACTCATCAGACAATTAAACTTGCTAGAATATTTCAACAAAAAAAACAAAGATTAAGGAACAAAAATTTAACTTGTTGGTCATCAAGCTTTTTAATGTTGATTTATTTTTGTAAAGCATATTAAAAAAATGTTTTGAAACAGTAAAATGTTTAGTTACTCAAGCAGAGATTAAATTCTATTTATCAATGATGCTCCCAGCATATAGAATTACAATTTTGAATCACGTACATATCGGTGATTTTGTACCAAGTTTACATTCGTTAGAAATGCAATATGAGGAAATGGCTAAAAAGAGCGAAAAAAAGAAAAAATTTTGCAAACTGTTTATAAAAAATGTAAAAAAACAGATTAATCATGAGCTAAACTCTGCTGTTTATGCGGCTATGTTTCTAAACTTTCCCTCTGGTATCAAAGACTGGTATCCAAGGCCACAGTCAATTTAGGCCTAAGCTCATTAGTAAACGTGGTGAATGAGTTTACAGGATAGAATACAACAAAACAGAACTCAGCATTGAGCACTTAGCTGACAAAGAAAGAGATACCTTCATAAATATTCTAAGAAAAAAAAACTCAGTACAATGCATTTTGGTTTGATAAAAGAAAAGAATTGCTGTATCTTTATAATTTGTGTCTTATGTTTTACAATATACCAACATCCTCCGCATATGTTGAACGCTTTTTTAGCATATGTTGTGTAGTTAATAAAAAAAGAGTCGGCAACATGACAGATTAAAAATTAATAAATCGTGCTTTTTTAAAAAGCCATACTCATCGAACTGGCTGAATAAAAATATTTTCTTTATTCATTTATAAATAATTTTCCTAATATTTGTTTTGTTAATGAGATGCAATTACATTTTTGAAACCTATAATTAATTTTTACTTTTATTTTATTAATTCGTTTCTCTGATTAAAATACATTAAAGTAAAACATATTACTGAAAAATATTTTACAAATAGAGTGCTTAATGTTTTTAAAGAACAGAGAAATAATAAATTTGTAAAAACACTAATCTAATTTTTTTTTCTTCAACAGACTTTTTACAGAGTTTCTCCTTCTGTAGGTTCTTCAGGAATAACCTACCTAAATCTTCCTGATAAACATACAGAAGGGGAAACTGCCTGTCAACTAAAAAAAATAGGAAAGTATTTTTACTAAATTATATATATATATATATATATATATATATATATATATATATATATATATATATATATATATATATATATATATATATATATATATATATATATATATACATATAATAAAATTTAAAATATATATATATATATATTCTTGCTTGGTCAACTTTAAGTTTTTACCATAAAATGTCAACTTATAGTTTGTTTTTTTATTTTAAAGACTAGAAAAAATATTTATTTTTTTAAAATTATTTGATAGACTGCCTGTCCAAACCAAACCCTCAGTCAATGTAACAATACTCCCTTGCAAGTCAGGTTATTTGTCAGTTGATGTAGCAGCACTCCATTGTGAGTCAGGCTATTTGTCAGTTGATTTCAGTTGATGATAAATAGCCTGACTTGCACTCCATTGCGAGACAGGCTATAAGATAGTCAATGTAGCGACACTCTGCACATGTTTTACAGTTAAAAGGTAAAAAAAAACACTCAAAATGTTCTTGAAAACATTTAGAATGTTTTTAAACACATTGTTGTCTTTTAATTTGTGGTTTAATTACTCCCTGCAATAGCTATTTTTTACTTCAGTTTGTGGTGAAAAATAGCTTCTAGCAAAACAAGCTAAAAGCTATTTTCTACCACAAACTGAGGATCTAAGCCCTTTACCATAGATGTATATATATATATATATATATATATATATATATATATATATATATATATATATATATATATATATATATATATATATATATATATATATATATATATATATATATATATATATATATATATATATATACAGGGGCTGTTCTAGGTCGTTTTCAACAGCTTAGATTGTATTTGGGCATCAATTTGGGTACTGCCTAAATAAAAATTTGAGGACTTTTTTTCCATAAAAAAATGCAGATTTTTCGCAAAATTTCTCCAGGACGAGGGTAGAAAATTTTTTTCCTAAAATATATATATATATATATATATATATATATATATATATATATATATATATATATATATATATATATATATATATATATATATATATATATATATATATAGAATATATATAAATATCAGGCTTGGTCGGGAAGCGGGAGCGATCGCTATCGAATACTGACCATGGAAATTATATTTGGTTGCAAAAAACTGGCCAGGTTTTTTAGTCATTTTGAGAACATTTAGATTTATGTACGAAAAAAAAAAAATTTTGTTGTACGGACATACATGAAAACATAAAAAACTTGAATGTGAAATGCTAGAAATTAATTAATGCTAGAAGTCTCAAAAAGTAACTTTTTGAGATTTCTAGCATTAATTGTTTTAAGAATATATATTATTTGTTTACAGAAATAAATGTTTAAATATAAACTAATTAAATTATTACTTGTTACTTTTTGAGATTTCTAGCATTAATTGTTTTAAGAATATATATTATTTGTTTACAGAAATAAATGTTTAAATATAAACTAATTAAATTATTACTTGTTACTTTTTGAGATTTCTAGCATTAATTGTTTTAAGAATATATATTATTTGTTTACAGAAATAAATGTTTAAATATAAACTAATTAAATTATCAAAGTTTTTAAAGTTTATTATAAGTTATAGATTTTATTAGTATATTCTTATTTTTTAAAAAGTATCTATTCTTTATGTAAATGTAATTTTGTGTATCTGTTTTTTTTATCGTAATGTATCTTATAAAGCAATTTTTATTATTTAAACAAAGACTTACAAAAATAATTGCATTTTCAATCGTTAAAGTTAACTAATTATGAAAAAAATGTATAAGAAGTTTCTGGTTACTAACAATGCATACAAAGTTACATAAACAATGCATACAAAGTAACTCGTGGATGAATCAGCAATGCGCCTGAGGTCACAACAGAACACAAATATATATAGTAAATACTTAGATATAAAGAAAAGTTTCTATATATTGGTTTACTAACTCTAATTATTTTTGCTTAAGTTGCCATTCTTGAAACTCTTTATACTTTTTTCTGCTTTAAATACTAATTAAAATTAAAAAGCCCTCACTAAACATCATCAGCGATATTGTGAAGCAGTTTCGCTTCCTCGTCATAAAGTATTTTTAACCTTTTTAGTTGATCTCTATCTTGTTAATTTAATTTCTATAGTAATTCATTTATTTATTATTTCATTTGTTTATCTTACTAAGAAGAATTGCTTCAAATATGTTAAACTTTTCAAACTACGTTAAACATAAAATAGGTATTAAAAACTTAACTTTTTTATTTATAAAATAATTTAGCTTCAATAAAACTAAAACTTGCAAACTTTGTTAAATAAAGAATATTTGTTTCCTTTTTAAACGATCGTAAGATGACTTTATATAAAAAACATTGCTTAATTTTATAAAAAAAAATTATAAAAGAGCGGTGTTTCGAAAATATTTGTTCTAAACATAGCTTTAAGTTTTTTTGCGTTCAAAGACATTTTATTAGCCTAATTTTTTTTTTTTGTAATTTCTCTCATCGGTCCAATTGCGCATTTTTTTTTTGCTTTTTAAAATGTTCTAAAAACGACTAAAAAATCTGGCCAGCTTTTTGCAACTAAACATTATTTATGTGGTCAGCAATTGAGAGCGATTGCTCCCGCTTCCTGACCAAGCCTGATATATATATATATATATATATATATATATATATATATATATATATATATATATATATATATATATATATATATATATATATATATATATATATATATATATATATATATATATATATATATATATATATATATTATATTTATATATATATATATTTATATATATATATATTTATATATATATATATTTATATATATATATTTATATATTTATATATGTATATATATATATATATATATATATATATATATATATATATATATATATATATGTATATATATATATTTTTTGGTTATTCACCTCCTCAAGGCCGAGATGGCCACTACAAACGAGGAGGCTACTTTATAATGGTTATAACCCTCTACCAACTCTATAACTATAAAACGCGAACCTTGACAAACAAGGCCGCTGCGCGTAGAAACAAGTTGAGCACGGTACTACCAGGGACGTGGTGGGGATCGAACTTGGAACCTCTCGCTTATGAAGCGAGTGTTTTACCACTACACCACTACCACATTTATATATATTATATATATATATATATATATATATATATATATATATATATATATATATATATATATATATATATATATATATATATATATATATATATATATATATATATATATATATATATATATATATATATAAAGATTTCTATTAATTTAATTTTGATTATTTATTTAATTTTTTAGAAACTCAATCTCCCAGAGCATTTTGTGATCAAAGAGACAGTGGATGGGTTATAGGTGTATGGGATGATGGCACAAAACCAGCTAACCCTTTATATTATTCATCAGAGGTGATAATTTCATATATTTTTTAGTATAGATTATTTTACACTCCTTTTTTTTTTCTTAAGTATTTTTGTTTGACTTTGTTTAGATTGCATGGAGTGGCGTAATTTATCCATTTGCTGCTATGCTTATCGAGGAAGGTTTGACTAAAGAAGGTTTAGATGGTATGTTTATTTAGCTTTTTCTAAATATTAAATAAAGAATAGGTGTAATAAATGCATATTTAGTAATAAATAATGCATAAATAATTTAAAAAGCTTGTTTTAATTTTTTTAAGTTCTTGAAAAGACACGTTATTTTTATGATGGTACCCGACGTAGCCCCTGGAATGAAATTGAATGTGGTGATCATTATGCTCGTCCATTGTCAAGTTTTGCTCTTTTTCACATTGCAAGTGGTCAGGTATCTCTTAATAGTTTATTTACTTATTTTAAGAATAATATCTTTTTGTTTTATTATATTGTTTTTTTTTTCCTTTATCTGATACATACTACATCTTTTTTGGAGATTTTATTTTTCAGAGATTAAAAATTGTATTTTATTCTCAAATAGAACTGGTCCTACACAAATAAAGACAATGTACGTCTTGGATTTCATCCAAAATTAAATGCAGATGACTTTTGTGGATTTTTTGTATTAGGAACTTGTTGGGGTACATACAAACAACAGCTAAATAGATTAAGAAACAATGGTTGTGCTGAGGTAAATTTCATGTATTCTTTAAATGGTTACTGTTTTCCTGATTGTTTTTTTAAGAATTTTTCTTTCAATGACTACTTATGTCAACAAATTTGTTTAAAAAATGTTTTCAAGGTGTAATATGCAATACCACTTTGGGTCTAAACATAGAACAGACTTACTCTGCCTTTATTAAAATCTATTGCTTTTGAAACTTGTGAACTAAAAAAAAGTTTTAGATTGTAGTAAACTGGAATGAAAATTATATAAGACTTTTTTTCATATTTTTTGGATTAGAGAAATCATATTTTTGTATTTTTTGTTTATTTATTATATCACATCATATATCATTTGTCACAGTCATTCTAGCTTACCATACTTGAATTAATATTTTATTAACTAAAAAATAATACTGTGAATAAAAAAAAATAAAAAAAGTTTTATATGTCTATTTTAATTGTCTTAAATTTAAAAATTTCTAATTCTTAAGTTTTATGAGTAGTAAATATAAGAAATAAAAATATAACTATCTTAATGTTGTTCCTGATCCCATGTAAACTTTTGGCAACCATTTTAACCATACATTTAAAATATTGTCTTAAATTTTAAAATTACTAAATCACAAACATTTTAATCCATGGTGTTACTTACTACAAACCTTCTCATTGGGGATCAGTATTTTATATAATTTATATAAAATATAGTTATAAGAACAAAAAAAAAATGGCTGAAAAATTTTGTGAGCTAAGGCTTTATTTTCTAAATTTTAATTTTTTTATTTTTTTTATTTTCTAAATTTTAAAAGTTCTGTTTCAATAAGCAAAATGTCTGTTGAAGTGTTTATTAGATATCATCAAATAAAACAATTTGAAGTAAAAATAAAAAATAAGATTTTTTAGAAATGTTAATGAATTATAATTATTTAAATTCTTAATCACAAAAGAAAAAAAAAAGATCATTTAAATAACACAAAAAAAGCCATTAAAGTATACATCAAGAAATTATAATTCACTCTTCCTTAGTGATTTTTCATAACATTTATGAAAGTTATCAATTCAAAAAATTTTTTCCGCAAGACCAAGAGCAACTTTAAAAAATTATTTTAGTATTACAACTTTATTATTACTTATTTGAGTCATTTCAATAAGAAAAATCTTTGTCGAATTTTTAACTTACGCTTCTTACGTTTATGCATATTGCCTTATTTTCATTAGGTTGAATTTTTAAAATGCTACAGAGTATTTACATTTAAATCTTTTAAAATATTTTTAAAGTAAAAACTGCTAACCCATTTAGGAGGGAGAAGGGTTCATGTATCTGCGAACGTTTGTGAATGGAGGGAAGGGGTTAAGAATTGACAAATGTAGGGTGATATGCTTTATGACCCCACTTAATTGCATTTACAAATGATTTGTTTTACTAAAACAAAAAATGAAAAAAGTTCTAAGTGATTTTTTTTATATATTAGATTATAGATATTATTAATAACAAATAAGTTTTTTTTTTTTTTAAAATATCTAAATTAAAATAGTAATATAATCCTTATTTTTATTTATGTATATTTATATGTCAACCAAAATAACAATGCATAAACAAATTAAAAAAATAATAATATGATTTTAATTAACTATGAAATAAGAATAACTTAATAATGTAATTCATTTTGTTTCCTATATCTCAAGACTGCACTCTTTTTGATGTTGTTTCTGATTAAATTGACCAAGCCTTCTCTCTTTATCCATTAGCCATTATCGTTGTTGTTAGTGACTTTAATGCTCATCACACTAAATGGCTTAGCTCTAGTGACTGCTGGTGTTAAGGCAACTTTTGCCTTTCTCAATCTCTCACTCAAATAGTCAACTTTTAACTTTTAACTCGCTTTCCAGACAACCCGAATCATTTAATCATTTTACGACAAACATGTTGATCCATTGCTTGACATTCGTATCATTTCTTATCCTCTTCTTCGTATCCTGTAACTTCAGGGGTTCCTCAAGGTTCAATCCTTGACCCTATACTCTTTTTAAGTTACATTAACGATATTCCAGATATTCTCACAATCCCTGATAATACTACCATATATTCTTGTCATAATAAGAAGCCAACACGCTTCTGATTGCTTGGAGTAGGCATTTGAGCTGAAAAAAGATCTCACTTCTGCAACTGCATGGGGCTTAAAATAGCTGGTGAACTTTAATTCAGATAAAATTTAATTTTTTTCATCCAATTGTTATTGCAATAATTTAGATCTTCCTATATTTATGAACGGTAATGTACTCAATGAGTCATCTACCCTTCATCTTCTAGGATTAACTCTTACTTCCAATCTTTCTTAAAAACCGTATATAAATTGCATTGCAAAATTAGCATCTGTTAAGGTTGGATTTCTTTATCCTGCTCGCCACTTTCTTACTCCAAAAATGCATTGTAAACATAGTTGGACCTGCTCTTGCAGCCAATCTTCAACCATTATCACATCGTTGTAATGTTGCTTCTCTTTCTCTTTTTTACAAATACTATAATGGGCACTGCTTTAAAGAACTAGCATCTCTTGTGCTCAAATTCATTTTTGTGTTACTCGTCATTCAATTAAGTCTCATTCTTTTTCTGTGAGTGTTCCTAAGTGCTCTAAAAACTCTTATTCGTCTAGTTTTTTTCTTGAACATCAGTTTTTTCGGAAATCACTTCCTTTGTCTTGCTTTCCTGATTCATATAATTTGAAATCTTTTAATTCATCTGTCAATCATTATCTTGTTCTATAAACTTCATCTTTTTCTCTTCCAGTAACTTCCAACTTCTACAAAGGTTGCTTGTAGTCTTGTTGGAAGCAAAGATGTAAAAAAAAAAAAAAAGAAGATACAAAATAATTTGCTTTTTTTTATTAGATAACTTTAAAACCTTCGATGTAGCTTCCTTTGTAGACTAAAAAAACATTTAGTGAAATAAAAAGTAATAGTTTTTAATAATTATGATAAATAATATAGAACTGTGTTTCTTTAACATGTTCAAGTTAAAATATCAGATATCATAAATACATTACACAATGCTTTTTTGTATACCTTTTTTTTTCCAATTTTAAAAATAATGAAGAAAAAAAAGTTCTCACTGCACACAGCAATCAAGAGGTACATTCTATCAATCTCTCTCCATAATTTTTTTAGTCTTGACAACTGAAAATAAAATGCAGTGTCATTAAACAATTTATTTTTACTGACATTATCTAGTCTTGTAACGTAACATTTAATCAATATTTTGAATTTTTGTATTTTAATAAAATATTTTATAAATTTTTAATTTAAAATATTTTAAGAGGATTTGTTAGAAGAATAATATTTTAATATTGAAATGTACACCTGTGTAAATATTGGTAATAAAATTGTATTTCTACTGAGGTATATAGGTTATGATTAAAAAACCTTATCACAGTATGATATAAACAATATTTTGTTGTCTATTGGGATATATATTATTATAAAGGGTAGATTCGGGGTAGGGTAGATTTCTAAGATGTGAATAATGAAGTTCAAGTAGCTTTTTTTTTTTGAATTGACTATATATAGTGATAACAGGAAGCAGTGTAATTAGCGTAAACTTATACGCAGTATTTATGGGCTCTCTAATTAAAATTCATTTTTTTGTGTTGTTAAAATATTATCCATTACACATAAAAGAATCTGTGGCGCAAAATTTTGATGTTGAAATATATATATTTTTTTTCATTTTTCATTTTTCATTTTTGTTTGGAAAAAAAGTGCACAGAAATATTTATTTATGACTTCATTTAAAGACATCATTTTCATATAATATGAGCTTGTTCAAATTACCCAGTGTTTTTCATTGAAATTGCCTAAATTAAAGTCCTAAAATTACGGTTTAAAATATAGTTTAAATTTTTGATATTTTAACTTTTTGTTTATCAGTAATATCTTTCTGTAGTTGAAATTCAAAAAAATTTTATTTTAAAAGTTTAAAAGTTTTTAATAATAAATTTGAAAAAGTAGCAAATTAAATTTTGTTGTTGTTGTTTTGCATAAATCAAAGTTTCTTAAAAGTGGAACAAAATATGAATTTTAATTATAAGTTTTGTTAATAATGAGTTATTATATTCCACAAATAAGTATATTCTATATTAATTTTCACAAATATAAATTAATTCCACTAATTCTAATTGTCAAGTTTGCATTTCTTTACTTTGTTAATGTTTCTTTTTTTTTTTGAAACAATTTAAAGCGCTTATATTATCATGTGGTCTGGGTAATGTGAGCACTTTTGCTATTTTTTTAAAACTTCTGTGGTTTTAAGAAAAAATTTTGGGTGTCCAAACATCAACATGGATCATGTGTAGTGATTCCTAAAAATTATTTATTCACAAAAATTTTATATCCAGCATAATTATTCTTGAAAATTTTCACTTAAGTTGCTTATAATATCCTAATCTACCCCTAATCCCTAATTCTAAATCTAATAAATCTTTAATGCTTATAATACCCTAATCTTGTTGTACATTTGCGTTTGCACATTATATATACTTTTTAAAAAAGAATAAAATAATGTGTTTTTCTTTTTGATTTAGTTAAAAATTGCATATGGAGAATTGAAACTCAGTCATTTTGAACTGAGTGTTCCTTTTACAAATGCAAATGTCTCAGTTGGAACTACACCTTATTCTACATGTGTTAATATGGTAGGGTTTTTTGTTATACTGTGTTTTTTATCAAGGTAAGTTTGTTAATGTAATACTGTCCATTTTTTTTTTTTTTAATACTTGACTATAATATTTATATTATATTTTAATTTTTGGTAAATTTGGCGTTGTTCCGCAAATAAAGCTGCACCTATTTGTAACTTTTTATTATGTAATATATAAAAAAACTCCCTTTAAATTTCATACTTTTGTTTAACATTTTATTCTAAAGACTTAGGTATAGCTTACATAGTTAGAGAATTTAAATGTGTTTTCACAACCATTACTTGAAAAAATAGTTGGAACACCAAATAAGTCCTGTACTGAATTACTTTGCACACAAACAAAATTGTTTAAAATATTTTTAAGGTATTAAAAATAAATTTTCATTTTTTATGTTTAACTGTCACTATTGAATTGAACTACTATGTATCCTTCACTATCAAACTGAGCTACTCTGTAACTGTTGCTATTCAACTGAACTACTCTGTAGCTGTTACTTTTAGACAATACTATGTTTATGTTATTTGTAGAAATTGTTTGTAAAAAGATAAATAATTCAAAAATCCATCACTGTGTAAAAAATCACGCATACATACATACATCTAACATAAATGTATGTATATACATATAAATGTTACATCTTAAGTAATATACTTATTATATAATAACGTTTTAAATACGCTTTTTAGAGAATCTTTAGTAAGAAAGTTTTAGTTATGTTTGCTATAAAAGCGTCATTAATATGACTTTAGAGCAAATAGATAGATATTTTTTACTATGAACAAATATATTTTGTTAAATTGTATATAGCTATTATTTATTATATAACTAAATGTTACATTAACTATTATTTCCCGCTAGGAAAATGAACTAGCTAACTTTATAGTAATTTTTTTTAATGATTTTTTTTTCCTTACATTATTGTTTTATTTTGTCTTTTACGTCTTTTTTCAATTTTTAAAAAATTCAATTTTTAGTATTTGGATCTAATATATTTATTAATTAATTGAACTTATAACATTGCCATTTTATTAAGACATGTCGCTATCTAGATATCACAGCTTTGTAGCTATCCATTTTACTTCAATATATTGTAAGCTACATATCATAGCATTGTAACTAGCTACAGCATAACAATAAATTCGTAGTTGCTTAATGACTACATATATTCAGCTTTGTAGCTAACAATATTATTACGATATTTTGATAGTTTCAGATTGCATTTATGTAGCTAGCTACAACATGCCGACAAACCTAAATCTAGTTGATGGCTGTATATTGTTGCTTTTACAATTAGCATCTTTATGGTTACAAATGTCGCTAATAAATTTCCCACCAAGTGTTATTTATTATTAAAAATATATATATATATATAATATTAAAATAATTGCTATTATTTTATTAACAAAAATATATATGTATATTTTCAATATTATAAAAGCAATTCAATTTAACTTTCATTCACTACGTAATGTTACTTTTATTTTAAAAAAACTACTTAAAAAATCTTTTATTTTCAGCATTATGTGTCTGGATGAAATTGAACCTCTATATAAACACTCTAAAAATATTTTTATGTCATTATTTTACATATATATATATATATATATATATATATATATATATATATATATATATATATATATATATATATATATATATATATATATATATATATAATTATAAAAATAAAAAATAATTGTTGAAAAAATTTTCTGAAATGACTCTTCAAAACCCGCAAAAATAAAAAAAACTTTTTTTTAGTAATGCAAAATATAGATAACAGTAAAGTTTAACTTAAATAGATATTACAATAAACGTAGAATTGCATACTATATTTAGTTTAGGATTAAAGTTTAAGATAGTCAATAAACTGCTCAGTATATGTGAGTATTAAATTAATCTAAGGGGTTTCAGATGCTTCAAACTCTTCTTGTAAAGACTTAAAAGATCTCCTCAGATTTTTGTAAATCAAGATTATAAGAAAACATTCTTATAATCAGGATCTACAGACACCAAATGTATGAGACAATTACTTTTGAAAAGTCCTGCAAGTAATTCAAAAAAAAAACAGAAAAAACAAAATAACATC